GACTGTGGCTGGGCCACTCCTCCCCCACCAGGCCAACCTGGAATTTAGCCTTCATTCATCAGGCCAACAGTTTTGTCCAGGATGGATGCAATCGGCCCTATATCTGTGCTGGACTATGTGGTTTCCTCCAGAGCAGATGGCATGTCATGCTCACCAGGAAGGGATGTAGTTTCTCTCAGTGATTTCAGGAGTCAACAGCAGTCAGAGTTTCCACATCCACGAATTTTGGTGGGTTCAGGACAACCCAAGTGCTTTCAGAAATTATTCTGCATTTCTCTACATTGAATTTTTCCTCTTTGGAGAGAGGAAAAAAGAAACAACAACAACAAAAACCAAAAACGTGCTTTCCTGTAGAAAGAATACACTTTTTAATTAACTGAATTTGCCAGAGTATGGACGAATTTTACTCAGTGTTTCGATTTACAAAAGCCTTACAATGTATCAAATATATCATACCTGAATTCTTCTCTTCCACCACTCCCGTATCCCCCTTCCTCTATTCTTGGAATAGTTTCAACAGGTGTCATTTTTGTATTTACATACATGTGTGCACAGTATTTGCACCGCACTCACCCTCCTACAACATTTCCCCGCCACCTCTCCCCTCCCATGGGCACCAACCCCCATCCCCCCCAGCCCTATTCCACCCTTCTGTTCTCTGATGTTGCAGAAGAATAAAGAAAGATGAGAAAAAGAGAAGGAAATGACAGTTATGCTTGTTTAAGGTAAAGGTACACAGGGAGTTCCCTTGAGACATATCCATGTTTATTCCAACATTTGATGTTTGAAGTGAAAGGCATGTCTGCCCTTGAGCTAAGCTTTGACAGGCCCGGGTCTTGCGCATGCGTGTTGAGTATCCAAGCCTGTGGGTGCTCTGCACTGTCAGAGGGCGCGAGCTGAGTGTGCACAGGCACGTGCTGGTGTGTACAGGTGTTGCTTGGCAACTAGCAGGTCAGGTAACTGACCTAACCGCCTTGCTAGCTCCTCTCTGTTGGGAAGCTTCCCAGAGTCTTATGACTTGAACACACAGCTAATTCCCAGCGTTTAACATTTGAAGGGAATGCAGCACTGCTTTGAGTTTAAGAGTTGAAGGGCAGGCTCTGCACATGCGCGCTGTGCATCCTTGGTTCCAGGCAGTTGCTGTCAGAAGGCACGCGCTGCCAGGCACGCGCACAGGCGGGCACTTGCATTTAGCGGTGTTGCTTGGCAATGTGTGCGTGAGCACCGAAGCCAACCGCTGAGCTGCCCTGTTGGGAAGCTGCTGAGAGAGATTTGATTCGCTCTGTACAATCGCTGTATTGGTCTATTGATTGTACGCCCTGTATTGGTTCAGGAGGCCGCGACAAGCGAAGGGAGGGTGGGAGCCTGTGAGGTCGGCGACCCCTCCATGAAGACCTCTGGCATGGGGAGCCAGGACCCTGCGGCCTTGGGCTCCTCCAACCGCCCGTGGAGGACCTTCCTGTGGTGTGGGAGTGCGAGTGAGCCCTCGGAGAGCCTCAGTGCTCCCAGATACCTCGCAGAATACCGAGCTGTACGGAAGATCCACAAGGCTGCAAGCGAGGGTGATGCAGCCAAAGTACAGCACTTGCTCGATAACTGCAAAAAAGGAGTGAATGACACAGACAAGAAGAACAGGTCCCAGGGCCTGGGAGTGATTGATGGGAGAGGAGCTTTGGGCTGTGAGGGAGGAGCCCACCTTCCTGGGCTGTGTCTGGAGGGAGGGCATCCAGTTGAGGGCCCTTATTTTTGCAGGCTGCTTCTCACTGCAGGCTTCTCACTGCAGGCTGCTCAGCACCTAAAGTGTGCACCCGGGCAGGTCTTTCGCGCAGCCTGTCTTTGTGAGCAGCAACACAACACCAACATGTCAGCTGCTTTTAGGTCCCCTACTAATTCCCCTTAGAGAGTGAGTACTTCACTGACTATTTGAAAGTAACGACTCTGTCAAAATTAAGCACAATTAACCTTTTATTTTTGATGTACATTTTTATAAACCTAATATAAGTACATTGCAAAAAAGGAAATAAGAGGAAAAATATTTTCTGTAATACATCAACTTCAAAACAATTTTTATTTAGTTGTGCTGGGGGGAGGTACATTGTGGTATTTACAAAAGTTCTAACAATGTATCCAATATATTACAATTGAATTCACCAACTCAACCTCTTTCTCCTCTTTATTCCCCTTCCTTCCATTCCTGGAATAGTTTCAACAGGTATCATTTTTGCATTTACGTACATATGTACACAGTATTTACACCGCATTCACCCTCCTACACCCTTACCCGCCACCTCCTCCCTCTCTCCCACCTTTTTGTTTCCTTCTTTTACCCTCCCCCTCTCATATATGACCTCCCCTTAGTGTGACCTGTTTTTTATAATGTTGCTATATTTGTATTAGGTGTATATTCCACATATGAGAGACAACATGCAGCTTTTGGCCTTCTGAACCTGGCTAATTTCACTGAAGATCACCTTCTTACCTGAAATGACAAATTCTTTGTGGCAGAGTAAAATTCCTTTGTGTATAAATACCACATTTTCTTAATCCATGCCTCAGTAGTGAGGCATCTTGGGTGTTTCTTTAGTTTAGCTATTGTGAAGAGTGCTGCAATAAACATGGGTGTGCAGGTGCCTTTGTTGTAACCTGACTCAAATTCCTTTGGGTATATCCCTATGTGTGGCATCATTGGATCATATGGCAGTTCTATTTTTAGTGTTTTGAAGAGCCTCCAAATTGTTTTGAATACTGGTTGTCCTAATTTACATTTCAACAGCAGTGTATGAGGGTTCCTTTTTCCTCACATCCTCCCCAACTTTTGTTGTTGTTTGTGTTCTTGATGGTAGTTATTCTAACAGGAGTGAAGTGGAATCTTAATGACAACAAAATTTTTCAAGTGGAATCCAGCCTCCATCTTATATCAGTGTACACCCATGTGTTTTTGTTGTTTATTGAGGGACCTCAGAGGGACTTAGAAGTGAAAAGACAGCTTTGCATTTTATTTTAAGTTTCTTGACATTAAGTTATTTAGGGGTGCCATTTTCACTACTCCATGGATTTTTTCCTGTTTCTCAGATACTTTTTCACTCATTAGTGGCTCTAGTTCGGAAGGATCACTCAGGGTCACCTTGATCAGCCAAACATCTTCAGGTGGCACGAGGAGGTACAGCCAACTCACTCTCCACTACTAGAGGCATGGTGGGCAGGTCATAGCACAAGCCTAGGCTGCCTGCAGAATTTGGCAGTGGTCCAAAGAGTCCTTGTCATGTGCACTGCTGTGTTGACAGGGTATGCAATGCAAGATTCATCCTTCCCCCCAAACAAGCTCTTTCTATGGTACTCAATTTCACATAAGCAAACATAAATATCAGAGTCACACATTCTTGAGGTATCACTCTGATTTTATGTCATGAGGACAAAGACAAAATGTCTGTAAATATGACACACTTGCCATTCCTAGTATTGAAAGTTGCCACTAATTTTCACAAAAGAGGGATTTCTAGCAGTCAAAGTTCAGGTAAATGAATGGAATGGAATAGAAAATCTAGGAACACACTTACGTGAGAAGTTAGAGGTTGGTACTGGTGACATCCACTACCCGTGGGGAAATATGGATTATTCCTTAATGAAAATCCTGTTAACTCTTAGTAGAATTGAAATGCAATTAGTTTTCTTTCATGCTCAGTGCCTGAAGCCTAATAGCCTGCTGCATACTGGGCTACACTGAGCTACATCCTAGTCTAGCTAGGTTTTCATGTCACAGAAAGACCATTCTGATGGGATGTAGATGAAAGTTTAAGTTATTCAAAATGAGAAATGTACAGAAGAATATCATTTGCATTTACACAGTTTTATGATGGCAAAGACACTCCTAAGAACAAGCTGAGAAGTAGTAATTTTTTTTTTTTTTTTTTTAGCGTAATACTGGAGTTTGAACTCAGGGACCTGCATTTGCTAGGTAGGAGCTCATCCACTTAGGTCTCATCTCCAGCCCTCTTTTTTTTTGTTCTGAAGTTGATGCTAAGCATAGACAAACACTGAGATACTGAGCAGATGAAAGCAAACATTCTAAAGTTTGATTATTGGAAAAGAAATTAAAGCACTGCCAGGCATAGTGATGCACACTTGTTATTCCAGCACTGGATAGGCTGAGCCAGGAAGATTAGGAGATTAAGATTGGCCCGCTCAGAAACTATGACACACACACATATACACACACAGAAAAATACAAAATGTATTACACCCTGTGCACAACGAGGTAAGAAAATAATAACAACATACTTGCCCATTTATAAAACACATACATGAATAAGTATCTTCAATTACCCCAAATCTTTCCTCCTTTATTTTGTACATTAGCAGCATTTAGCAAATGCACCAATTAGTTGTGATAGTCATTAAATCATATCAGCAAAGCAGGCAAAAATTTCTTATTTCACTTAATAGAAATGTAGTCTTTGTTAAGTAGTAATAATACGAATAAATATAATAGGTAACTATGTTGAGATGTTTTGTATTAAAATGTGTTCCAGATAATTTTATAAGCAGTCTATGGATGAGAAAATTGAGGCACAGAAAGACTAAGCAATACCTAGTAACTAACAGTTTAAAATAGGATGTAAATCCAAATTAAATTAAATCTAAAGGTGAAGCTGTTCCTATTAAAACATGATATATCCTGACGTTGATGGACCTAGGATGTAGCTTAGTGGTAGGGTGGTTGCCTAGGATGCAAAAGGCCAAGAACAATTTATGTATTCCAGCACATAAGCTATTCTTTCTTTTGTAGTGAGTAATAAGTAATAAGCAGTAATAAATATTGTCCTTTGTTCAGAAGAAAATTAACCTGTGTTTGGAAGGCTGAGAATTACACGGTACATTATGTTTACAATGACAGTAATAAGGGTGTGGTTTGAGCTCATGTTCCACAATTTCATAAAACGCCATCTCATCTTCACAGGACTGCTCTTCATTATGCCTGTGCATATGGCCATCCAGATGTAGTGACTCTCCTAGTAGAGAGGAAGTGTAATATTGACGTTTGTGACAGTGACAACAGCACAGCCTTGATTAAGGTAGATAGCAGCCAACAATTTCAGCAGGAGGTGGATTTGATTTTAATGCTTAGAATAAAAATGAATTTACTCACTGAAACAGAACTGGTGAAATTTATGGAATGTTTGTCTGCAATATTGAACTGACAATCTATTTCTTGATTCAATACCTGCAGGCCTCACAATGCCAGAAGGAGGAATGTGCAATTATTCTACTCAAACATGGTGCTAACCCAAATATTAAAGACTCCAGTGGCAACAGCGCTCTCCACCATGCCATCATTGTGGGGAACACCTCAATAACGGCTGCACTGCTGGCACACAGTGCAAATACTGATGAAAAAACCAAGGTAACAATCCCCCACTTTGTTTCCAAAATATTTGAAATACACATTTTTTACTTTGGTATGTGTGCAGTGGTGTGCATGTGTGTGTATGTGAGTATTTTCCATTTTAGACCCTCAATAATTCCCTGAATAAAAGTATTTTGAAATAATGTACTTGTGAACTGTATTGACAGTTTCAAAGAAGGGTTAGAATGTACAACTTTCTTCTCTGCTTTCATGGCAAATGTTTGTTAAAACAGTGTATTTGTAGAACTAAAACTAAAGTTTTTTAGTGGTTTTTTTTTGAGCAGTGTAAAACAAAACATGAAAGAAAAGTTTGCCTTAAAATAGGTTTTTTGTTAAAATTCAAGAAAAAGAAAAGCATTTTACAATATATGATCATATATTTTTAATGATCATATTATTGTAGTAGTGGGATACACTGTGACATTTACAAAAGTTCTTACAATATATCATAGTTGAATTCACCCCCTCTATCATTCTCCTATAGACCCCCATCCTCCCAGTTCTGGAATACTTTCAACATGTCTCATTTTTCCATTTCATATATGAGTACGTAACATTTCACTACATTCCCTCTCCTGTACCTTTTCCTTATACCTTCCCCCCTCCCACTGCTACCAACCCTGAAATAGGACCCATTTTACCTTCCTGTTTTCTGTTTTTGAAAAAAAAGCCATTTTTGTTTGTTTAAGGTAGCTACCCAGCGAGTTTCATTGTGACATTTCCTTGTATAAATGTATTATAACCAGAATTGGTTCATCCCCTCTATTTTTGTTCTTTCTACCTTATTTCCCCTCCTTATGGTGATATCAACAGGTTTAAAAATTCAATATTCATTATTGTGCAGGAAGTACATCAACCATGTTCACCTTCTTAACTTCCTTCTTTTACCTTCCCTCTCCTGTTAGTGCCCTCTTCCTTAGTGTCACATGTTTTTCATAATATTTATTGTATGTGTATTGTTTCTATCTCCCATATATGAAAGAAAACATGCAGCCTTTGTCTTTCTGCATCTGGCTTAGTTCCTTTAACACAATGTTCTCTGTTGTAGGGCATCTGGATTGTTTCCATAGCTTGGCTATTGTGATCAGTGCTGCAATAAACATCAGTGTGCAAGTGTCTTTATTGTATCCTGACTTGGATTGTTTTGGGTATATCTCTAGGTGTGGTATAGGTGGATCATACGGGAGTTCTATTTTTAGTTTTTTGAGGAGACACCATACTGTTTTCCATAGTGGTTGTACTAATTTACATTCCCACCAACAGTGCATGAGGATTCATTTTCCCATCTTTGCATTCGTTGCTGTTTGTGTTCTTGATGATAGCCATTTTAACAAGAGTGAGGTGAAACACATTTCATTTATGGCCAGAGATGTTGAGCATTTCTTCATGTGGTTTTTACCCATTTGGACTTTTTCCTTTGAAAAAGCTTGGTTCAGTTCATTTGTCCATTTCTTCACTGGGTTGTTGATTCTTTGGGAATCAAATTTAGTTTTTTGAGCTCCCTGTATATTGTGGTTATCAATCCCTTGTGAATGTATGGCTGGCAAAGATTTTCTACATTCTGTGGGCTGCCTCTTCAGTCTGGTGACCATTTTTTTTGTTGTACAGAAGCTTTTCAATTTCATGCAGTCCCATTTGTCTATCCTTTCTCTTAGTTGCTGAGTCATTTGAGTTCTATTTAGGATTACTGCCTATGCCTATTAGTTCTAGTATACACCCTGCTCTTTTCCTATTCAAAGTTTCAGGTCTTACATTAAGGTCCTTAATCCATTTTGAGTTGATACTTGTACAGTGTGAAAGACATGGATCTAGTGAAACTAGAAACTAGATCAGTTTTCCCCACACACATACCCAATTTTACCTGGAAAATTTGCTGAATAGGCTGTCTTTTGTCCATCTTATGTTTTAGCTGCCTTTGTCAAAAATAAGGTGGGCAAAGCTGCATGGATTCACATCTGGGCCTTCTATTCTGTTCCACGGGTCTTCATGTCTGTTTTGTGCCAGTACCAAGTTGTTTTTATTGCTGTGGCTCTGTAGTATCGCTTGAAGTTGGGCATTGTGAAAACTCCAGTATTGCTCTTTTTGCTCAGTATTGCCTTGGGTATTTGCAGACTTTGTGTTTCCAAATGAACTTTAGGGATGATTTTTCAATCTCTGTGATGAGTGTCATTGGAAATTCGATAGGGATATGAGACACTTTTAACATAATCACAGTGAAAGAGCTCTTTCTCAGAACTTTTCCATAAGGTCACTTGTTAATATTGTTTCTGTTTTAACAAATATTGAGAAATATATAATTGTAGTCAGAAAAGAATGAGGACACTCTCTTCCTAAAAAAGATTTAATTGAAACCCAAATGAATGTGAATTATTTTAAATACTGGCCATAATATCAGCCATTTTTGACTTTTTATTGAAAGGTCTATATGTTTTTATTTTCAAGAAATTACAAGTATGTGTGTTTTTAAAAACATGAAAATATGATAGTTACTGACTGATCTGTTTAAAATTCATGCTATAATGCTGATACACTGATCCATTATTCATTATGTCCTTGATGGCCTTAAGGTCCATCAAGTTCCATCGTCATAAGTCACATTTGTGTGTTAAGTGAAGTTCACACTGATCATTTCACAAGCTTGCAGCTGCAGTTGTGAAGTCCTAGCAGGTGGTGGGGCTGTTGGAATTAGATTGGAAAACACAAAGTAAACATTCCCCACTCTCAAAGGAGCTTCTGTGTTGCATGAGACCAGAATAGCAACTAATTCACTTAGTAATTGAACCCTACTGAAGACCAGGTAGATGGACCCAAATCATAGAGGAAAATCTTAATTGGAGTCACTAAAAGCATGTGCATTCTTTTATAAAGAAATCTCACCCTTCAAAGATAAGCAAGACATGTATATTAACATGGCTCAATCCCTATTAAAAATAAGATGAAAGGGCTGAAGGTGTAGCTCAGTGGAGGCCAGTTCTCTCTTCAGTACTGCCAGAGGGGCAATGGGGTGTTCCATACTGTCCACCAGGAGGCATGTTGGCATCATCCCAGACTATCTACTTTTACGTAGTTTTATTCCTAAACACCAGAGCTGTTAGAATAATGAAGCAAAATCATAGTGTGAACTCTCAGATGAAGGGTCAAGGAGAATAAATGTTTGATGTGACTTTTGGAAGCACTGTGGGTCATGTGGCAACTCTAGAAAGAGAAGGATGTTTCAAAGGGAAGGAGTGGCAACGAGAAAGCTCTGCAGGGTAAGGAGAATGAGGCTACTCTTTACATTGTATGATTATCTCCACCAGGTCTTTTTATATTTCCAGTTCTGGAGAACTGTGTCATCTTGAGAATTATAACTTGTTTCTGTTGTTTTACAGGATGGTCTCACACCATTTATGCTTGCTCTGAAGGAAAATCAGCAGGAGGTGGCAGAGTTTTTATTAGCAGAGGGAGCAAATTCACATGGAGTTTATAAGATGAGAAGGTATAGTCATTTGAACATTTAAAAGACATCTTAGTGGTGTCGTAGAGTGGTAATAATCACCCAATTCAGGACTATTAAATTAGTAGGAAGTAGATTGTAATTATTGGGGTATATTGAAATAATATTTGCTTATAGTATAGAGAGATGTTTGTTCTGATTTTTGTGTTTATATAACCTTATATTAGCTAAAAGTGTTTCAGATTCGTTTTGTAAATTTCAAATGTGTCATTTACTTCTTGATCACAATGAAGTTTATAAACATTTGCTAGTATTTTCACCTCTCTTTCCTATATGTTTTTTTCCAAATGCTATGTGAAACATTAAGAAGAATTGAAAGTCAATTTGACTTTTTGATGACTTTAACTTTCTTTCCTTGAAGAATATTGATGGTATATCATCCCCATGTGACTATCATTTTGTTTAACCACACAATATTCAGTTTTTCCCTTTTTAATTTCCAGTGTATTTTGATGTTTCTTATTTTTAACTGGCATGGAGGGGTAGAACAAACTATAGTTTCCTTTAATGAAAGAAAGTTATAGGTGGGTGATAAAGAGAAGATGGATAGGTTTAATATCGATGCATCACTGGCTTTACTTCCTATTTTTACATTTATTTGCTAGATGTATGAACTTAGGAACGTTGCTTAATCACCATATTTGTTTTCATATTTGAAAAAGTAAATAATACATTCTTGAATGGCAGTTGTGAGATTGTACAAATGGAATTTGTATATGTGAATGTTTTTCATGTCAGTATTAAGAAAATAATTTTTCTATCACCTTTTAAATTCACGACAGTTCAAAAATACTTCCAGAATGTGCAGAAAGGAGATCTAAAGTTTCTCCTAATGACCCAGGTATGACTTCTGATTTTCATTTCCTCTTGTCTTGGTAGTGCTACCCTACAAAACATAGTCAGAGTGAGGAAAGTTGATCACAAATGTGCACTTTAAATATTTGATTGGAAATAATTTTTATATTTTCCTTAATATCCTTCTTAAATCAGATTATGCACCAAAAAGATTGCAGAAAATTAACAATCTAAATCACTATTTTGTGAAAAAAATTGTCTTAAAATTTTGGACATGCAATGCTATGCTTCTTTTCTAGAAATGAAACAGTTTTCAGAATTAATATATTGTATTTTTCCTCCATGGACACATTACAGCCAATTGGAATTGTTATAAAAATGAATTCTCTAAAGCCAAGGTTGATGGTTCAAAACTATACTTCTGGCACGTGGGAGGCTGAGGTAGGAGGATTTTGAGCTCCAAGCCCGCCTCTGTACATAGGAGAATTTTTTTTTATAAAAACCCACAAAATGTTTTTCTATCCTGTTTCTTAATTTTTTAATTTTTTATTAGCATGTATTAGTAGTATATGAGGATTGTATTGTGACATTTACGTATATGCTTACAGTGTACCTTTATTAGATTCACCCTCTCCCATCTTTCTCCTTCATCTCCTCTCCACTCTTTCCTAGAACAATTTCAACAGGTGTCATTGTTCAGTTTTCATACACACATGTGAAGTATTGACCATGTCTTCCCTCCTCAACCTGTCCATTTACCATCCTCTCTCCCCTTGGTACCTTTCCTGGGCATGACCTATTTTACCATTCTATCTGTCATTTTTTAAAGAGTAAGTTTGCTGTGAAATATCATTTTGTAATGCTGTTTTACACAGGTATAGACTGTTCTCGAATCAGATTAACCCACTCTATTACTTGCTCTTTATCACCCTGCTCACCCATAATTCAACAGCTTTCAATGAATTTCGTTATGCTATCTTCACAAAAAGATGCAATAAATTTAAGTATTGTTCACTCTCTATCAATCCCATTTCCTCTTCACCTCTCCCTAATCCCATCAACAGGCCCCCTATTACAATCATGTTCATTATGTTCTTTAACTTTGTCTCTTTGTCTCTATACATGTATACACATGGATATAAGATCACATATGAGTTTATGTATATATTTATCTTTTAGGTCTGCCTGCTGCATATTCCTTCTGCTTGATACTCTCCTTGCTCTTGTGCATCATCTCTTCCCCTTTAGTTTTGTTCTTCTCTGAGCTCTGGCAGTTATGATTGTTATTGTTCCTCTTTTGTGTGACATAAGGTCTTAAGTATCTTCTTTATTGAAGGCTTGGTTGACAAGCCTACTTTAGCTTATCCTTTTCCTGGCAGGTCCTCATTTCTCCGTCAGATAAAGGATAGCTGTACTCTCTCAGTTCTTGAAGTTTCTTGCTTCATGCTTTCTAGTGCCTACTTTAGCTTATCCTTTTCCTGGCAGGTCCTCATTTCTCCGTCAGATAAAGGATAGCTGTACTCTCTCAGTTCTTGAAGTTTCTTGCTTCATGCTTTCTAGTTTTTTTTGAGGGCTTGTGCTGAAAGACCTGAGGCGATTCTGTATGTTTACCTTTGCATGTTTTTCTCTTGTAGCTTTCAAATATTCTTTCTTTTTCTCTAGTTTTGTCATTTTAATTATGGTATGATGTGGGATTCTTTCTGCTCATATCTGGTCAATATTTCTATCAGAGAAATAAAGAGTGCCTTGGGAAATAAGGAGAAAAAAATTAAGAAAACAAAAAGAGTCTGGCACTAAAAAACGTGCCTGTCAGAAGCTTCTGTAGCCTGAGCAATCTGCCAGTGAAATCCAGGTGTTAGGTTTTTGAAATTTTACACCAGCATGGCTACCAACACTGCCTCTTTCTCTTCCTGAGCTCCCGCTAACTACTCAGCTTGCCCCAAGTCAAAACCTGTTCCTTTCCATGAGCCTCTTTGACTGCCAACTGTCATACTTTGTGACCAGGTGTCTCAAGACACTCTGAGCTGTGATTATTCCTCATTTTTGACACCCTACTCTAGTACTTCAGTCTTGATCAATAGACCTCTCCTTGCCACAGCTCTCTGAGGTGTGGAGAATGAAATCTTGTGTAGTCTGAATCTGGCCAGTTGTGCTGGAGAAGTCACTGTCTCATCAAATACCTGCAGTGGGATTAGGGTTTGCAGGAGGTGAGGATTTTGTCCTACAGCTGGATCTCCCTAATTTTTATAATAAAAAAGGATTTTATTTAGAAAGGGAGTATATTGTATAGCTATTTATGTTGGTCATTACACAATTTGTGTTCCAGAACAAGGTGAAATGTTTGACAATTTTTATCAATTATTGTCTATCTTAAGTATGTAATTGAAATTATTTGTTTTATGAGTTTTCAGATTGCTCTGTTTATGTGCTAAAATCATATTATCTTGATTTTAATGACTTCAAATTTTGACTAAATGAATACGCATTGCTGTAATACATTCTAAAGAAGAGTCAGAGAGCATCTTTTCAAAAAAGTCAGTAACTTCCTTTTGTGGCTGTGGGAATTCAACCGAAGGTGTCATACATGCCAACCACATGATCAACCACCGAGCAATATCCCCAGCCCCGCTCTTTGTTCTCGCTGCCTCTGTAACTCTGAGAAGCAGACTATTCCACACAAAACATCTAAATGAGTTCCCTCAGCATAAGAAGATGTGAAGTAGGATAACCACAAAGTAATTGCAAGTCAATCAGTTTAAGCAATTCATTTCACATCCCTTTTGATACCTTTCGTCAAGTAAGGAACACCATATAATTCTCTGCAGACCCATATTTCTATATTTATTCATTTAATAAAAGTCCACTCTGTAGTGGTCACTGCTATTTTATATACAAATATTTCTGAAAAAATCTCCTTAGTTCAGGCCTCTATCATCTTTGTTTTTTTACAGTCCAAACACTCATTCCCCCTCATTTGTTCAAATGTCCTAAACATTCACTTTCCCCAGTGCGTGTGGTGTGATCTGTCTCCAGTGCAAAGACGACCATGAACAGTCTTGAAAACATTTATGTCCAAACATCTTAAAGTTACATAAAAGCCTTTCATAGTGTGACTTCTGCATAACTCTTGCTTTGGGGCATTTCTCACTGCTTCTTCTTCAGCATTATTCAACTTGTGGTGATGCCCTTTCCACTGATCTTTGTATTTTTAGGCAAATAAATGCCTTGTTTACTACTTCTCTCCCATTCTTGGTGCTGCATTTCATTCTGTCACTGTATTCTGCCCAGCATAGCATACATAAGCAAGGGCTTGTCTAAAAACAACTTACTATTATAAGGATACTGTATAGTGTGAATTTGCTCATTTCCACTGCACTTTTAAGTTTTGTTAATTTATGTTGGGTGGATGAATTTGCAGATGAATTTTGAGTGGATTGTATACCTTTAACTAGGTGTTGTCTAATTTGTTTTCAAGTGATATATATTCAAGTTTTGGATAAGTAGAAATATTTCCTAAGGTAGTAAGTATTCAGCTAAAGAGTAAGCTTTATGTAAATTCATTTTTGTGGGTACGGGGGGCACTGGGGTTTGAACTCAAGGCCTCATGCTTGCTAGGCAGGAAGTTTTACCTTTTGAGGCACTCACTATACCATCCCTCAATATAAATTCTTGATTAGGAAAATAAAAATATTTTTTATTATTGTACATTCAATCATTTTATCAAGAATATTGCTTTTATCTAACTGTTCTAAGAAGTTTACTTGAACTAAATGTATGGATTTGTCAGCAGAAGCCAACATAATAGTGGCCTCAGAGAAAGAGCAGAAAGTGATTAATGGCAGTGAAAAGAAGCTCAAGGTATAAAAACTGACATTTATGTTTATTGTTTAATATTGTTTTCATTGCTTAATAATGTAGTGAAGGCCAAATGAAATTGTCTTTACACGCTAACCCTTTACAATCAGTAGATCAAGTCAATATTTAATGTTTATTTTCAAAGGATGAAACTAGTTGAAACCTACAATATTGATAATACTACTATTATAGTTAAATTTATCCTTGGAATTGGGATATGAATTTGTGAATGTCACTTGTGTTACCATTTGCTGAATCTTCGTACATGATAATGAAGGTAATATGAAGTTGAATCTTATGATTAATGGTTGAATTTATGAACAACCTAACAGTGGTGGTCACTGAGAGGGATTCATGTGAAAGGGCCATCATTCCCAGTGGTTCAACATTTGTGGTTTCATATTACCTATCAAAATTTCCCAGGTTAGGATTTTTTTTTCTTGTGATCCTGGGTTATTGTTGGTGGTAGTGGTACTGCTTAGTGCTTGCCAGGCAGTTTGTCTACTGCTTATTTGAGCCACCCCTCCAGTGACCTGCATAACTAATTTAGCTTTGTGCCATCTGAACTTCTGCCAAGATAATCATAGGGGAAGTTGCTAAAAATTTTCATAAGCTCTAGGTATTTTTACCATACTGTCTCAAAGATAATTTGTATTTATTTAAACAATTGCATTAGAATAAAATAGGAAGGAATCAACTTGCAAAAAGGGTATAAAAATGGAGGTATACTCTGGTGGGCATGGTGGTACACAAATGTGACTCCAATATTCATGAGGCTGAGTCAGGAGAATGTATGTTTGAGGCCAGCCTTGGCTCTTTTGCAAGGTCCAGGCCAGTCTGGGGCACAGAACAAGAGCCTATATCAAAAAATATATTTAAATTTGGCAGTTGCTACTAATCAACTCAGCCAGACTAACCAGTATATTGTGTTTTCATGTTGTGGAAATTTATCTTTTTCTTTCCTGAAAACACTGGAACTTAAAATTCCAACATGACTTTAAAAATTGGACAAGAAATGTATATGTTTCCAAGGTTTTTATTACCACTGCCAAGTGTCTTTTCTGAATTAGCCCTTTACCTCGTCTTGTTTTATAAAATTTGGTCATTTTTGGTGTGCATGATTTCACAGTGTAAGTAGCATAAACCTTCAGCCTAAATTTGATATTTGAGTCCAAAATAATCTGAGTTCTGAGGCATATTTAGTTGTAAAGATAGACAGAAATGTAGAGATATTCTTTAAAAAACAAAGTGAAGAGACTTCCCAAGCCTGACACACCATTAAAGTACTTTGTCAAAGTGACACGTTGATCTAATCTGAGTAATTTAATGCTTGGGGGCAATTTATTTGATCCAGCATTATGGAATTTTATCCTCAGCATTGGTGCCATAGTGTGCTAGGTAATGCTGCTTAAGTACTTTGAACGAATCATTTTTCCTATTGTCAGTCCTATTATGGGTAGACATTGGAGTAAAGTGAGTAATCATACATATCCTTCAGTTTTTAAATGTTACTGTTGGTGAATGAGAAATGTGGGAGACATGTCATTTTCTGGAATTCCATACTAGCAACCCAGAAGTTTTACTCTGCTCCTTGTGTTTTGGCTCACTTTGCTTCATATATTTCGGTGCATGCCTTTCCTCTTCAGATAGCCTAGGATTCAAATGAGAAGGAATTGTTAACAGCAGTGAGGGAAAGAAGAACATGGCAGAAAGGGAAAGCTTCCTGAACCCCGCAAAGTCATGCATTCCCTGTCTTTGTCTTTTTTCTCCTGCCCAGCATATAGGTAGTTAAAATGTTAGGCAGCAAAGGGAGGCTGAAATCATAAAATGAAGAATGGTCCTTTTTCCAGTTTTGGGAAACTTGTTTTCTTTCATTCAAACAGAAATGAGAAGAATTCACAAAAGTTTTAGGGTTCTGTAGTAATAAAATTAAATATGGATGAAAAAAGTTTTATGAATTGATATCATAAAACTAGAGCCAAGAGATAAAATGTGTGACCACAAAAAATGTTCTTTTTATTGAGCTGGAACCATTACCCTTAGTATTAAACTTTGATTGAAGGTGAAAGAAGAAAAGAAGCATGAGAGTAATGAAATGGAAGGACCAAGGACGCTGTGTCACAGTGCTGCTGCAGGTGCTGCTGGGGCCACAGTTGATGCTGAATTAATTCTACCAAGACCGAAGAGCAGAGCTGCAAACCAGCAGTTCCCTACTGCACAGAGTGAAGAACATGATAGGTAAGACCACAGCAATATGTAATAGCACATACCTGCTATCGTGTGCTAAAGCGAACTCTTAATTTGTGCTGATGTACTGATTAACAAGTCTTTTGGTTGTTTATTATGGAATATTCAGCCCTTCATGATTATCAGAATGATGGAAGTTAACAACGAAGTACCATTGCTTCCAATTATAATATTTTATTACAATGACCTGGTTGACATTCTCATGCACTGTTGGTAAGTAAAATTGGAAAATACTTTTTAAAGGGTAACTTGGGAGCATGTATAAAAGTCTTAAAGTTATCATCCTTTTAGCCTAATACTTCATTTCTGTGACTTGATTCTTCTGAGGCAGAAAAATATTATCTGTGAATATACATTCACATATACGGTAAGGACATTTGTTATATATTAAATATAACAAATATAGTTGAGTACATATATTCAATATGTCACATGTACATCACAGATATAACACATCCATTAATCATATTTACAAAAGTATACAACATATATATTATGCTAAAGATATTTATTCTACCATTATTAGAGGTTTGGAGATAGTCTAAATATTCATCAATGAGGAAATGATTAAATTGCCATTTTCATAAGACAGGGTAATATATGACCATTTAAAAACAAGTTTAAATGAAAAAAAAAAAACCAAATTTGTTAAATGAGTGAATGCTGGCTACCCTGGTCAGATTGTTAACAAAAATTCAGTTGACATGAAAACACACGTTGAGTGAATCCATGTTGACAAATTTACCTGGCAAATTGTACTTTTTAAGATTCTTTTCTTTCCTCCTAATAAGTGATAATGTATGCTCTATATGAATGTTTTTCAACTTAAGAGAAAATGTCCAATATTTTGATTATCCATTATTTTTGGTTTACTTATATTCATGATAGTTTTCATCATGTCAAAATAGATTAAAGAATTGGAAAGTTCGCTTTTATTAAGAGAACAAAAATGTAGCTGTATGAAATTTAAAAGACTCAGGCAAAATATTGCCAAGAGATTAAGTGCCTTAAATATATAAAATAAGATGACAAAATTTGAAGTTATTGCTTTGTGTGTTAAGAGAGAGGTACGCTAGTGAGGCACAGTTTCTAACACAGCAATCCTTTTATCTTACATAGCGATTTGAGAAGAGGGCAGTCTAAAGATCAGCCAACTTTGAGAAGGTAAGTGGGTTGACATCTGGGAAGAGTGGAGTTCAAAGATCGGCCCACATTGATTGGCCAAAGTTCAGAAGGTAAGTGGTAACTCAAAGAGCATGTGTATTCAAGTGATACAATTGTTTATTGGTTGGTGATTGAGGTGTGTTCATTGAAGTGAGACTGTCTAACCGGCTCTTTCAGGAAGCAAGCAGCTGACACTGGTTATGTGTGAGGCCAGTGGGTCATTGAGTGATTAGGTTTAAAACTGGTTTGAGTGGCTACTTATTACTAGGGTTACAGGGCAGTCCTTTCCTAAATTTGAAGCAAATTCAACCAGATGTTTTCTGGGTAAAAGCCAATTTCCACCAAGTGTTCTATGCCAAACCAATTCCATTTTTTTTTTAGAACTGTAGAGTTATTTTTGAAGTTTGGCTCAAGGGTAGTTATTGTAGGCCCTCATAACACAATAATTCCCCTTGGGAAATCCCAGAATTTGTAAATGTGTTTAGATGTACAATAGTGATAGCCATTCCTTGTGTTTATTCTTCCCAAAGTAATTAGAATTATCTATTGGTGAATCAAAGTTTTTATACTATTATTAGATACTAGTGTAGAATTATCATATCATTTTAATTTCAAAGAAAGTAACCATTACTAATGAGAATATCGCTAATTTTGAAGTATACATAATAACCTGTAGGTTTCTTAAAATTTTGTTTTTTCCCACAAACTATTTCCCTGATCTCTGCTTTCATGTCATTTAAAACACATAATCTTTTTTTTATCTTTTTGGTGGTACTAGGGTGTGAATTCTGTGTCTGACCCTTGCAAGGCAGGTACTGTACCATTTGAGCCATTAGCCAGTCCCATCTTAAATTAACACTGTTATCTTTTAAGGGAAAAAAAAAACTTTCATAAAAATACAATGATTATTCTTCCAAGTATAAGAGTTTTGCCTACTGGTAGTGAGTTCCAAACTTTTAGCGTACCACTGAATAACAGCGAAGCATCCACCTGTCATTCATTACTTACTTTTATGTGTTTTCCACTTTTCCTTTCATTTTACAAGGAAACGTAGAGATGCCATGTACCTAATCTTTGTGCTTTCCTTCTACTCTGTAATTAGAATGGGTCTCTCGCCCTTTGGACCTAGTGAGCTGCTCTTTTAAATTTTATAGCCTTTATGAAGACTTCTTTGTGCCCACATGATACCTTCTCATATAACGATTTGTATTTCTTATTCTGTCAGAATTGTGTTTACCTTTTCTTTGAAGCAGGGAATATATATTTTCTTTTACTTAGATGGCATTTCCTAAATGATTTGTACTTAATTCACGTCTTGAGATGGGCAACAGTCAGAATTTTACCAGAGGTTTAAAATCTTTTGTCTGCAGAATGATTAACTTTCTAAATGGACATTTAAATTAGCAGACATAGCTTGCCTATGGAGAAAGGAAAGAAAAATGAACACGAAAGATGGAACTCAACAGAACCTGGGACTTCACAAATGTTTTTGAATGCTAATTCACTCCCTGATCATTCAGTACATGTGAAGTATGACTGCACTTTAAATGAAATTGAGCTGGATGAAGGAAGGTAAAGTCTATAAGTTCTCTGCTTCTTTGTGAAGGAACATTAGCAGTCATTACTTTTCTGAAACAAAATACAATATTGTATTGTGCAGGCAAAGGAAAATAATAGTCTGAAATATTAATACTGGCCAGTAGTTGATTAAGATGAAGACAGGTAACTTTGACAAGGAACAGTTTCAATAAATGGCCACCATGGAGGCCTGGATGTAGTGGATAAGTATAGTCAACTCATTAAAGAATTTTCTCTGTGAAAATCTGTAAAGAAGTGACTAATCCCTGAAGTAGAATGTGGGATTTAGAGAATTTTTTATGTTTTGAAATGGACATTATTTTTAGACAGTGTTAGAAGTAGTCCGGAAAAGATCGTATTTATTCCTTTTAATTTTGTTTGTATGTCCAAGTATTAGAAAGCTTTATATATTAACTTTGATAAAATCATAAACTGAGTGTCCATAGATATTGTAGTTATCTTATATGTTCTCCATTCTGATTGGGTCCAGAACTGCAATATCCTAGTGTATTTGAAAATGCAAAAGATGACATAAACTTTAAACTATCATGAATTTATGTTTTGGTATATGGATGGTACAGATGTTTGAGCCAAGTTCCTTGTGCTTGCTAGGCAGACACTCCACCAATTGAGCCATGACCTATGTTACATCATACAAACACATAGGCTACACTGAATAATTTTTAATCATTCCATATGCCTTTGACAGTATCACCTTGAGCAGCTTTTGCAAGGTGTATCACCTGAGTACTTATTTTTATGGTGGGAAAAGGGTAGATTTTGTTCATGTACCCTATTAAAGGAAACTGTTGAGAATGTTGCAGAGATTATTACTTGAGAATTATCAAAGTTCTGTGGTATGAAAACCTTCTTTCTCTGTACCAACAGTATCATTGACATGTGTTGTGTGCTCTGTAAATACTCATCCAATGAGTGAGTAAACGGTTGAATAGATGAATGATGCCTGTTGAGGAATTCCTTTAGAGAAAAATAAAGGTTTAATATGCTCAAAGTATTTTCAAAATTGCCTAATTGTAAGGTCTTTTTATTTGAAATATGTAATTGCAAACTATATTCCCAGCACCGTGGAGTCTGAGGGAGGGGGAGCATGAGTTTGAGGTGACCCTTTAGTCAATAGATTGCAGTATTCAGAAATTACTATTTATATTATAATCAGAATTGGAACGATAATGTGGATTCATCTACTATTCCCTTTAAAACCCTATAAATTAAATATTAATTTCCACAGAATATTGTGAAACACCTGTTCTTAAGCCAGAATTCCTGGGCCTGAATTCTGGGCCACCAATCACCTATATGGGCTAGGGCAAGTTCCTTGACCTTTCTTTACCTAGTTTGTACCTTCCCAAAATATCTATTGTGCTGCCACCCTCAGGGAATCATTATGAAAATTAAAATGAGCTTTATACTTGTATTGTATAAGTATAAAAATACTTACAATAATGCATAGTCATTCTGTAACTAGGTCCCAAGTAAGTTAACTTCTATCATCCTTTAAACTGTGTTTACCTCACATGGACAGAAGTAGTATTTTCCAGAGATTTTTACCATCCATAAAGTTTGTTTTTATTGAAAATGATAATAAAAGCCTGGTGTATGTCTTTAATCAAACAACACATGCAGTATTATATTTTTCCTTTTTCTTTGAGTGTCAGATATTTGGTTCTCTATTTTTTCTGATGATGTTAGTTGTATTATTATCTTTGCCCATTAATGTTACTCTTTCTGTTGGTAGTTGTATAGTGCCTAGAGAAAATTATCATATGAAATGGATGCTTAAATTTATGAATAGGAGAAATGAATTACAAATGCAGAGATTTAATATGAAAGGACAAAAGTTTTAGATACTCTTTGTGTTTTATATATTTCATATTTGCCTAAAATGATTTTATGGTTTTGTTTTAGGCCTGCCAAAAAAGTTCCTCATGAAAAGAGCAAGGTATGGTAAAGAAGAAAAATATTTGTGTAAAAATACAGCTAAAAGTCAGTGTGAGATACATTAAAAAATTCAATAGAAAAATTATTAAAGGTAAAATAAAAAGTAATGACTTTCATTATATAAAGACATTTTCTTTGAGAAAGGGATTAAGAGATAGTGGTCATTGGTCAAGTTAATCTTTTGAGCAAATTCAGTTCCTTTCAAAAGTAGCTGTGGGATGTGAGGGCGATCTGGCTGCGACATCTGTCACCGCATTGATTGCCAGGGTTGATTTGGCTGATCTGGCTGATCTGGCTGGCTAGGCGGGTGTCCCCTTCCTCCCTCATCGCTCCATGTGTGTCCCTCCTGAAGCTGCGCGCTTGGTCAAAGAGGACGACCATCCCCGATAGAGGAGGACCGTTCTTCGGTCAAGGGTATGTGAGTAGCTGCGCTCCCCTGCTAGAACCTCCCACAAGCTCTCAGAAGTAGCTGTGTTTCTAATTTCATTGGAGACAGTTTGAAATAGAAGTATTTGTTTTATAGGTCAAAAAGCAAGTAACTTTTATGGATGACCCTACGAACTTAATTGAATCATATGAGACAGTATCAGAGAATTCTGAATTGTTTGACGCTAAAAAATGCTTGTGTGAATTTGAACACCTCGACACGGAATGTACAGGTAGGGCTAGTGCATAAATATAAGACTTCTATGCATATTATCATAATATGTGCACACATTACTTAGCACAGTACCATAGAATACTGATGTATTGTTGTGCTGTTCCCATCAGTAATATGCTTTGTAATAAAATAGAATGAGAATTTAACATACACTCTCAAGGCTTATGATTATTCCCAGTGCACTTTGCAGAGAGTAGGTGGCATCCTTTATGTTGGATGTTCTTGTCTCTTGTGCCTTTTCCATTACCGAATCAGGTAACGTTGTCACTATTTGGAATTGTCCTGCTACCCACCCATGTCATGAGACCATGGTCTACTCTGTCACCATCATATAGTTTTAAAAATTCAGGACTTATCTTGTTCAGCCATCACTTCTTTATGCTGGTATGTTGAAAATCTCACTTGTCTAGCTCTATCATTCTCATCACTGTTGTAGATGATTGATAAAGATGGTTTTCAACAACTTTACTGATGTGTAGTTTTATATGATAAGAGGAAATGTAATTGTCATATTCGGCTAACATGTTTAATTGCCATAATCAAGATAATTAACCAATACAATGCATCACCCACATATTCTCGTCATGAAACTTTGTGTTCCATTATGAAGAAGCTTTCAAATCATTTTCCAATGTGTCTGTACCTTTTGCCATTCCCATTAGCAGAATAGGAGAGTTCCAATTCCTCCCTATCTTCACAAGACAGGGGCTCATAACCCTGGCTAGCCTGAAACTGTCTACATAACCCAGGGTGTTGTCAAAGTCATTGTCCTCCCGTCTCTACTTCCCATGTTCTATTACAGGCACATGCCACCATGTCCAGTATCTTTTGAAGAATGGAAGTGTTAAGTTTTATATATATTTAATTATGAATTTTGATTTTTGTGTCATATCTATGGAATCCTTATTGGGCACCATGTCAGAAATATTTTCTATTTTGTCTTCCAGAAGATTTGTAATTTTAGATTTTATGTTTCGATTTATGATTCATTTTGTGTTGAGTTTTGTTCAGGGTGCATGAAGTGTGGATTCTCCTTGCTTCCCTCCCTCCTCCTCTTCTACCCTTCTTTCCTCCCTCCCTTCATTCCCTTCCTCTGCTATTGCTTATTGAACCCAAGTCCTCATGCATGCTAAGCAAGTGTTTAACCTTTGAGCCATGCCCCAAGTCTCTTTTGATTTGTTTTGTGTTTGTATTTTATTTCTCAGAAATGGTCTCACTAATTTTGCCTGGGTGTGTCTTGAACTCTTGATCTTCCTTTCTCTACCTCTGAAGTAACTGGGGTTACAGGCATAAACCATGAATGTGAATTTTGAAGAGACAAATCCAGACAATAACAATTGTTTATTTTCTTTCTCAAGATGTCTTTTCATTTAGTTTTCTCTTCCTGGGTGTGAAGCTGGAAGCCAAAGTCACTGAGTTGATACTCTTCTAATGGCAATACTCAGTTTTGAATTTTTTGCTTAAGTATTACTGTAGCTACATTTCACAAATTCTGGAATATTGTGATTTTAAAATTTTTGTGCAGTTCAAAATAGTTTCTAGTCTTTGTTTTCATTATGTCTTCGACCCAGTATTATTGGACTCATGTTAGTTTCCAAATATTTGAGGAATTTCCAGAGATATATTTGTTGTTGAGTTCTATTCAATTGGTTTGTGTTCAGGGAACATGCTTTGCATTGATTAAAACATTTGCATTAATCTTTTTGGTAAGATTTGTTGTATGATCTTAAAATGTGTTCTATTTTGGTAAGAAGAATGCTGTTGTCCTGGACTACTATATTCTCACTGATTTTCTGTGTACTTGTTCTATTACTTACTGAATAAGGAGTATTAAAATCTGCAAATGTGCTTGTGAATCTGCCTGCTTCTTCCTCCGATCTAGCTATTTTTGCATCACATACTTTACACTGCAGTTGGGTGTATATTCAGGATTAGGTGTCTTCTTGATTAATTGAACATTTTATTACTATGAAATGACCTTGTTTATTCTTGGTAGTAGCTTTTGCTCTGAAATCTACTTCATTATTAATATAGCCCCCATTCCTGCTCAGCTTTCTTTGGTGAAATGTTAGCATGGCATACGTTTTTCGATCTTTTTAACAAACTTGCATCTTTTCCTTATAGGCAGCACATAGTTGGATCTCATCTTCTATCCAGTGTGATAGTCTGCCTTCTTAGGGAACACTTTTTAGAACCTTTCCATTACCATGATTATTGCTATACAATTGACCTGGAAAGAAAGCGGGGATTAGGAGGGCAAGCCACTTTTGCAGTAGAAAATCTGCATGGATATTTTCACTTTCTAAAAAATTAGCTAGTATTAGCCTCTTATTGACTGGGAGTCTTCTTAATAACATAAATAGGTGATGCACACAGATTTGTGTGTTGAAAATACTGTGTATTATGAAGACACAGAAGGATTGTTAGAAATCTTTTTTTTTTACTATAATGAACAATTTACTGGAGATACAATGCTCACATGGGGATGATTTGTATCCCCTGGCATGTACTCGGAACAGTTGAGCTCTTCGAGGTAGCAACAGGCGATAGCTTTGAAAAGACTACACTAGTGCAGGTATGTAGCATGACATCTCCATGCTTGGGACATTCTTGTCACATTCAATGCAGACAGCATGAGCAGTCTTTGTTTTTCAGTATACATTTTAACTTTAAAAAATTTGTACCCCTTATAGTCTTAATAAATGCTAAGAAACTAGTTTGTTTTCAAACAAAAATGTGGTTTTTGTGGCAATATATGTTAAACTATTACTTACAAGTATCTTCTGCATCACAATTTGCACCCTGTGTATAATGAATATATCCCAATAAAAATATGAACAAGCAAATATATTCTACGTTGATGACATACATTTTCCTTATTGTTTTTTTAGTATTTCTAGGCTTGGTGGTACATATGTGTCTTAACAAATTGTCTCAGATGTCAAATAATCTGCATAGTTTAAACCAGTGTTGTTCAAGAGTGAACTGCACTTAGGTCTGTCTGTCATGATACTGTCCATTTTCTAGCAGTTTGCAATCTTTTTAAGTGCAATGTGATTTTTATACAACATGCTTCACGCCTGTTCTTCTCTTTTTGTGCTTTCCTTTGATGCATTTGAGTTCCACACAAAAACCCTGATACTTCCTGGTCTTGTTTTTATGATTTGTTAGAGGTATCAGAGCAGTCTCCTTCCTGGAGTTGATTCCCCACTGCTCAGGCCAGTGCTATCTTATTATGTCTCTTCTGTCCTGTGATTTATGCGTTTGCCCAGCGTGGATGATGGGAAAAGATACTTCCAGGCACAATGGAAGCAGCAGGAACAGTTCCTTCTGAACTTTTCAGGTGATTTTCCCCTCTGTCTCAGGTAGTTTCCTGGTACATGTCTTATTTGTTACTCTGCTAAATATTCAAGGCATCTTTCTGCAGATCTCAGGGTTCTTTCTCTGTGCTGCTCCATCATCTCCAGTGCTCTGTTTTGTGATCTCTCTATCTGTCTTGGTTTCACCAGACTCTCAGCTGCATCACCCCAGCTCAGGAAGCTGGCTAGGCTCTACTTCAATTCCTTCCCCTTATGTCAGGGCCTGGAAAGTGCTTCACAGTAGGGAGCTGGGACATTGGGAAGGCTTACCTCATTTGTTTTCTGTTTGTTGTGAATCATTTCCTTCATTGCCTGAATCACACAGCATCAAAATTTGTTTAATGTATTTTATCTATTTTGTTTATGGTTGTTTCAGGTAGGAATACAAATCAGCACCTGGTACACCACCTTGCAGCAGTCTGAAGAGAATGTCCCTCTTCACACTCTGCCTGGATCTTTCTTGTTCATTCATCATTTCTCATTGTAACCATCTCCTCTGGGAAATCTTCCCACACTCAGTGTATAAAATTTGCCTTATTTGGTACAGAGCTCAGTATAGCACCTGCCTGAATGTATAATGTCCACTTTATGAGTAACAGTAGTAAGGGTTACTCATTTTTTTTAATCTGCAGAGCTTAGTATAATATACTCTGTGTTGTATTAAATTTACATTTGTACAGTGTATAAATGAGTGAATGTCAAAATGTATACGCCTTCATATGCAGAAAGTACTCATGCATTTTATCTTCCTGAAGCAGACTCTGAAAAACTGTTGATATTCTTGAATGCAATTCATTCATACAAAAGATATGTGGAAGTTAACACAAGACAATGTGACCTTTTGATCGAAAAGAATATGAACATAGACAGTGTGGTCAGTCAACTACAAAAGGAGCTATCAGAATCCAGACAATCAAACTCACAGTTAGAGCTTGATGAAGTAGACTGCGATATGGATCTCTGGTATTTGAGGTATGATATCCTAGTGTTAAAGAAATGTTTGAAATATTTCCATTACAGCACAGTCATGTGGGGAGCTTTTGAAATTGCTGATCTACCTTCTGGTGCTCTCAGGGAAGAGAATCTCTGAGTCTTGTGGAGTGCAAAATCTTGTAAATAATATGTCAAGTTAACCGTGAACACTTCTAATAATTGAATGTGTGTTTTTCCATAGTCACAATTTTGATGACAATATGGAAATTTCACCATATATTAATCTCTCTGTTTAACAAATGTAATTTTGTGCTTTAGAATTTTTTATAGTACAATTAAAACTGCAAGCAACATAATTTTTGTAAGTAATTTTTGATATTTCTTGAATTATTTGGAATAAATTCTTCAACGTAGAATTATTAGCTGTTGGTAACAAATTTTTGTAAAGCATTTTGATCAATATTTTTAAATTGTTCTAAGAAATTTATATAAGTTTACAGTTCTACCACCAGAGTTTGAAATTGTTAGTTTTCTCAAATCAAAAAAAATTTTTAAATATATTTTAAGGTGTATTAGGCTTTGAACCTAGAGTATTGCCGGTTGAGGCCAGTTCTCTACCATTGAAGTACACCATGAGCTATGGTATAATTCTTAACATGTATGAACTACAATGCAAAATGGAAAATGATTACTTAGTAAATAAAGTGTTCAGCATTTTCTGTCATATATACATAAAATATATTTACATACATATGAACAAAGAGCAAATTAATCTTTTTATTTCATTAAGTGTGAGATCTACTCATGTTCTTAAAGTGATTTAAGCTATTTCTAAATTACATAATCATAAACAGTGTACATTGAAAATATTAACAAAAGAGAAACATGAAAGTGTGATAGCAGATAATCAGCCTCCTCTGTGTAGTCGTGGATTATGGTAATATACTGTATATGTTGGATACAGCATGCAAAAGTGCCATCTCACACCATTTAGGGGATACTTACAGTATTTCATGAAGATTTAATTTTTGAATTTAGAACTTATTTGAAAAGAAAGACTTGTTCAGTATTAATTAACTTTATCTGGTTCAATTGAGAAGTAACAGATCTCTGTAAAAATATAATTTTCAACTTATAACTTTATTAAATAATTCCAAAAATCCTTTTCCATAATATTTATGAGGTAATTGTAACAGAAATTTGCCAAATATGAGAATATTTTTTCCTTTGTACATTATATAAATATATATGTACATAGATATGCGTGTGTGTATATATATATATGTATGTATTTATATATATGAAGACATCAAAGAAGAAATTGAGAACACAGGAACTAGACTGGAAATATATTTGAGAACTTAGATTTCATTAGGAAAATAAATTATTTTCTGAAAAATCAGATCACCAAATGAACTTTCTGTTTTATATCAAAACAAATTTTAAGATAAGCATACTTAACCACAGATATGCGTTAGAAGAAGAGAAGAAAAGGAAAGCTCTTAATGCAAAAGATAAGGAAGAGCAAGATAATAAAAAAGGAGAGCAATATAACAAAAAACTTGCAATGAAAAAACAATCTGAAATATGTCTCAGCCTAGCAGATATGGAACTGAATTCTTCAGCAGAAAGCTCAAGTGAGAGTGAGGTAAATTCATCTTTTGTTAAAAATTTTTTAGTATTTTTTTATTTGTTGTTGTACCAGTGGTACATTGTAACATTTACAAAATTTCTTACAATGTATTATAGTTGAATTCACCCCTCCCACATCTCTGTTTTCCATCCTTCTCCCATTACTGGAATAGTTTGATATTTCTACCTTCCTTTCATCAACATTAGTCATTACATCCCTTTGAAAATATATATGTATGTGTATGTGTCTACACATATATAGTAATGTGCCACTAAAAAACTGGGATATCATCTAGGACACATGTTGTTTGACACTTTGGTCCTGTGCAAATACCATAATAAAATATTTACACAAACCTAAGACATCTAGCACATCAGTAGGCCATTCAGTACATTATGGTGCCAGCATTGTGCATGTCATCCATTGTTGGCTTACACATTGTTATGAGTGCATGGTTATTATTTAGGTTGAAAAAATTTTTAGCTTCATCCTAAAATGTTGAGAAGAGAGATTTTATTAGGAAAATTTTGTGCCTAATCAATGCTCAGCAATGTTTTCTGAATGGAGGAGTGGAAAGTAGGTTTAATTAAATCACTAATATTGACATTTGTTAATTGAGCAGGCTAACTAGCTTTGAAAGTATAGTGAAACTACTTGAGCGTTTTATAAAGAATTTTATGCTGCATAGTATATTAAGGAGCTGTAATGTTCAGACAAATTTCAGTAATTTAGGATATTGAAATTTGAGTAATGCATGTGGATCAATGACGCTATGCTCTTAATAAAGGTAGGTTTTTAATATATACATATATATATATATGCAAAGAAGATCATACATATGATTTTATGTAAACATTGACCTTTCAGTTCTAGCTTCCACATATGAGGGAAAACATGCCATCTTTGTCAGTTTGAGCCTGTCTTACTTTGCTTCACGTGATGATCTCCAGTTGAATACATTTACCTGCAAATGACATAATTTCATTCTTTATAAATAGATAATAAACCAAATTTTCTTAATCTTTTCATCAATTGTATGGAATCTGGGCTGTTCCCAAAGTTTGGTGACTGTTAATAGTACTGCAACAAACATGGATGTACAAGTGTCACCATTGTATCATGGCTTATATTCCTTCAAGTGTATGACCAGGACTGATATCTCTGGATCATACAATAGTCTGTCTATCTATCTATCTACCTATATCTATCTATCTATCTATCTATCATCTCTGTCTATCTATGTATCTATCACCCATCTATTTATGGAATCTCCAAATGCTTTCCAGTGTGGTTGCATTAATTTGCATTGTCACCAATACTGGATAAGCACATTTATTCTCTTCATTCTGCAAGCAGTTGTGGTTGTGTTCTTGATGATAACCAAGATTGGAGTGAGGTAAAATCTTAATGTTGTTTTGATTTGCATTTTCTTTATGACAAGGGATTTTGAGCATTTCTTTATGTATTTATTGGACATTTGTACTTCTACTTTTGAGGTTGTCTGTTCAGTTGATTTGCTCATTAATTTATTATGTTGATAATTCTTTGCAGGGTTAGTTTTTCATGCTCCTTGTATGATCTGGTTATTAATCACATGTCAGATGTATAGCTGGCAATGATTTTCTCCCATTCTGTAGGGTGTTTTTTCTGTCTTGTGACTGTTTTCCTTGGTGTGCACAGCTGTTTAGTTTGATGCAGTCCCATTTATTCTTTCTCTTCATTTTCTGAGCAATTGGGTTCTATTTGGGAAGTTATTAACTATGCCTATATTTTCCCATATTGTTTCATGTCATAATTTTGCAGTTTCAGATCTTACATGAAGATCTTTGATCTGCTTTGAGTTTATATGACTCTAGGATGAGAGACTGGAATCTAGCTTCAATCTCCTAGATGTGGTTCTATGTCAAAACTCAAATGATGATAGCTGCAGAGTTTGTGTCTGGGTCTTCTATTCTGTTACACTGGTCTTCGTATCTGTTTTGTGCTGGTCCCATGCTGTTTTGGGTTTTTTATTAGTATGGCTCTGCAGTATAGCTTGAAGTCAGATATCCTAATAACTCCAACATTCTTATTGCTCAGTACTTCTTTGTCTATCTTTTGTGCTTCCATATGGAATTCAGCATTGTTTTAAAATCTCTGTTAAGAGTGTCACTGGAATTTTGATGGGTGTTGCATTGAATGTACAGATTGCTTTTGGATGTGTAGCCATTTCTGTGATGTTGATTCTCCCTATCCATGAGCATGGGATGCCCTTTGTACTTCTAATGTCATCTTCAACATCTGTCTTCAGTGATTTGTAATTTTGAATGTATAGATCTTTCACTTCATTAAATTTAGGTATTTTAAGTTTTTTGATGCTCATGTGAATGTTATTGTTTTTTGGCTTCTTTCTCAGTCTGTTCCCTAATTGTGTATAGAAATGGTAGGGTATTTTTATGTTGAATTGTACCCTTCTACTTTGCTGTACAAGATCTAGGAATTTAGTAGAGTTTTTAGGGTTTTTTTAGGTATAAGAACACATCATCTGCAAATAGGACTAATTTGACTTCTATTTTCCCTGTTTGAATTCCTTTCTTTCTCCTGTCTAATTGTTCTTGTTTTATTTTTTATTTTTGTTTTATTTTATTTTTTGTTCATTTATTCACATGTGCTTACATTGTTTGGGTCATTTCTCCACCCTGCTCCCCTCCCTCACTCTTCCTCTCTCCTCCCCTTAGTTCCAGGCAGGTCCCGTTCTGCGCTTATCACTGATTTTGTTGAAGAAAAGACATAAGCATAATAAGACAGACAAAGCGTTTTTGCTAGTTAAGGATAGCTATACAGAAAGACTCCTAGTATTGCTTTCATGTACCCATGTGTTACGACCCATGTTGATTCATCTCTAACTGATCTTTACATTGCTTCCTGATCCCCTGCTCATGATAACCTGTCATTTTAAGGATTCTGTATTAGTTCCTCTGGAGTGGGGACATCAAACACTTTCATGTTTTGAGTTTTCTATCTATTCCTATATCTCCTGTTTGTGCTCTTCCCTTGTCTTGTGATCCACGTCCAACTACATTGCTGCATTTGCCGTAGATCTAAAGTTCCACATATGAGGGAGAACATATGATTTTTGGTTTTCTGAGCCTGGCTGACCTCGCTCAGAATGGTGTTCTCCAGTTCCATCTATTTACCTGCAAATGATAAGATTTCATTTTTCTTCAAGGTTGAGTAAAATTGCATTGTGTACAAGTACCACATTTTCTTGATCCATTCATCAGTAGTGGGGCATCTTGGTTGTTTCCATAACTTGGCTATTGTGAATAGTGCTGCAATAAACATGGATGTGCAAGTGCCTCTGGAGTAACCTGTGTTGCATTCCTTTGGGTATATCCCCAGGAGTGGGATTGCTGGATCATATGGCAGGTCTATGTTTAGATTTTTATGGAGTCTCCAAATTTTTTTCCAGAGCGGTTGCATCAGATGCATTCCCACCAGCAGTGGATTAGGTTTCCTTTTTTCCCCCACATCCTCGCCAACACTTGTTGTTGGTGGTGTTTTTGATGATGGCTATTCTAATGGGTGAGGTGGAATCTTAGTGTGGTTTTGATTTACATTTCCTTTATGGCCAGAGTAATGGCCATATATATATGGCCAAATGATAAGATTCAGCCCTTATTTTTATTATTTTGCTTCTTCTGCTTGTGTTTGGATTTGCTTGTTCTTGTTTTCTAGGAGATAAAGATGTGAAACATTAGGTCATTAATTTGAGATTGTTCTGAACTTTACTATATGCACTCATGGCTATAAACTTTCCTCTCAGGATTGCATTTGCTATTTCCCATAGGTTCCGGTTGGTCATGTTTTCATTTTCATTAGCTTCCAGGAACCTTCTAATTTCCTCTTTTATTTCATAAATTTCGCATTGGTTGTTGAGCAATGTGTTGTTCAGCTTACAACTGTGTGCATGTTTTTTGCTGTTGTTTTTGTTGTTGAGTCTTAGCATTGTGATCAGATAAAATGCATTTCTGTTTTCTTTTATTTGCTGAGGCTTGCTTTGTGCCCTAAGATATAATCAATTTTGGGGAATGTTCTGTGAGCTGCTGATAAGAATGTATATTGTTCAGAAGTTGGATAAAATTTTCTGTAGACATCAGCTAGGTCCATTTGACTATGGTTTGATTTAGTACTAGAATTTCGTTATTGATCTTTTGTTTAAATGATCTATCTATTGGTGTTGGGGGTGGTATTAAAGTCACCCACTACCACTGGATTAGAGTTTATATATGTTTTTAGGTCTGTCAGAGTATGTTTGATGAAATTGGGTGCATTGATGTTGGGTGCATATAGTTTGATAACTGTTATTTCCTTTTGGTGTATTTTCCCCTTTATTAGTATGGAATGTCCTCCTTTATCTTGTTTGATCAACGTAAGTTTGAAGTCTACTTTGTCTGAAATAAATATTGCTACCCCTGCCTGTTTTCAGGGGCCATTGGCTTTGTAAATCTTCTTCCAGCTTTCTCTCTCAGCCAGTGCTTGTTTCTGTTGATGAGACGAATCTCCTGTAGGCTGCAGCTTGTTTGCTAAACGGTGTCTTTTGATGGGGGAATTAAGTCCATTAACATTCAGTGCTAGTATTGGTAGGTATGTGATAATTCCTGTCATTTAGTTGTCTTTGTTGTTTAAGGGATTGATTGTGTGCAGCTGAATCAATGTTACACTCTACTTTCTTGCCTTTTCTTCTCCTGTGGTTTGGTACTCCTGTCCTTTCATGGTTTTGTTTGCTTTCACTTTTTTTTTCTACTTTATTTATTTATTTTTAATTTTTTATTTTATTCGTATGTGCATACAATGTTTGGGTCATTTCACTCCCTCTTCCCTCCCCACATACCTTCACCGTCCCCCCTCTCCCCCACTCCCTCCCTTACCCCCTTTACCCCTCACTACCCGGCAGAAACTATTTTGCTCTTATCTCTAATTTTGTTGAAGAGTGAGTATAAGCAATAATAGGAAGGAACAAAGGCTTTTGCTAGTTGAGATAAGGATAGCTATACAGGGAGTTGACTCGCATTAATTTCCTGTGCTTGTGTTCTAGGTTAATTCTTCTTGATATAACCATTTCTCTAGTTCCTGGTCCCCTTCTCCTATTGGCCTCAGTTGCTTTAAAGTATCTGTATTAGTTTCTCTGTGTTGAGGGCAACAAATGCTATCTAGTTTTTTGAATGTCTTACCTATCCTCATACCTCCCTTGTATGCTCTCGTTTTATCATGCAATGAAAGTCCAATCCCCTGTTGTGTTTGCCTTTGATCTAATGTCTGCATATGAGGGAGAACATATGATTTTTGGTCTTTTGGGCCAGGCTAACCTCACTCAGAATGATTGTTTTCACTTTCTGCGTGCAGAATTCCTAGAAGAATTTTTTGTAGTGGTGGCTTGGTGATCATATGTGTAGAAGCTTTTTATTTTTATGTAGTCCTATTTGTGAATCATTTTTCTTAGTTGCTAAGCCATTAGATTCTTGGTAAGTTATTGCCTAAGCCTATTAATTTCAGCATATGTCCTGCTTTTTCCTGCACTTGCTTGAGAGTTTCAGTTCTTATATTAGGGTTCTTAATCCATTTTGAGTTCATACTTGTACTAGGTAAAAGACATGAATCTAGTTTCACATGTCTTCATTCAGATATCCAGTCTTCCCAGCAACATTCTCCAATGTATGTTTTGGGCATCTTTGTCAAAAATCATGTGGGCATAGGTGCATGGATTCATATCTGAGTCTTCTATTATGTTCCACTGCTCTTAATGTCTGTTTTGTGCCAATACCATGGTGTTTCATTGCTATGATACTGAAGTATGTGAATCACGTTCACAGTATTGATTGTGCCAAGCTATGAGCGTGGGAAATCTTTCGACCTTTTGTACTCTTCTTCGATTTCTTTAATGGTTTATAGTTTTCATTGTAGAGGTCTTTCACTTCCTTGGTTATGTTTATTCCTAGGTATTTTATTTTTTTCATGTCTATTGTAAATGGAGTTGTTTTCCTATATTCTTTCTCATTTTGTTCATTGTTGATACATAGAAACCCTACTGGGTTTTATAAATGGACTTTGTATCCTACTAGTGCACTGGAAGTGTTTATGCCCTCTAGAAACTTTGTGGTGGAGATTTTCAGGTCTTTTAAGTGTAAGATCATGTCATCCACAAATTGTGATAGTTTGGCTTCTCCATTTCCTATGTGTATTCCTTTTATTTCTTCTTCCTGTCTTATTGCTCTGGCTAGGAGTTCCAATACTGTGTTGAATAAGTGTGGATAGAGTGGACAGCCTTGTCTCATTCCTGACTTTAGAGAAAATGGGTTCAGTTTTCCCCCACTTAGTATGATGTTGGCTATAGGATTGACATATGTAGCCTTTTTATGTGGGGGCACATTCCTTCTATTCCTACTTTCATCAGAGCTTTTTCCGTGAAAGGATTCTGAATTTTGTGGAATTCTTTTTCTGTATCTATTGAGATGACCATGTGATTTTTGTCTATGCTTCTGTTAATATGCTGTATTATGTTTACTGATTTGTGTATATTGCACTATCCCTGCATCCCTGGGATGAAACCGACTTGATCATGTTTTATGATTTTCTTGGTAGGTTGTTGAGTTCTGTTAGCCAGTACTTTATTGACGATTGTTTCATCTTATTGTGTTAAAGAGACTGGCGTGTAATTTTCGTTTTGTTGAGTCCTTGTCAGATTTGGGGAGGAATGTAATACTGGCTTCATGGAATGATTTTGGCAGTGTTCCTTCCCTTTCTATTTTGCAGAAAAGTTTGAGAAGTATTGATATTAGCTCTTCTTTACAGGTCCGGAACTCTTTCTTTTTTATTGCTTGTTATAGATCTATTAAAGTGATTTATGTCCTCTTGATTCAATTTTGGATTGTCATATGTGTATAGAAATTTGTCCATTTCTTCCAGAGTTTCCAGTTTATTTGAATATAGGTTTTCAAAGTAATCCCTAAAGCTTTCCTGGATTCCCTTGGTGTTTTTTGTGATGTCCCCTTTTTCATTTCTAATTTTATTAATTTAGATCTTTTCCCTCCTCATTTTAGTCAGAGTTTAGGAGTTTATCAGTTTTATTTATCTTTTCAAAGAAGCATGTTTTGCTTTCATTTATTGTTTGTATGGTTTCTTGGATCTCTATTTCATTGATTTCAGCCTTTATTTTATTATTTCCATCCTTCTGGTAGTTTTGGGTTTAGCTTATTCTTTTTTTCCTAGGAGTTTGAGATGTAGCATTAGGTCATGTATTTGAGATTTTTGTGTTTTTAATCTATGCATTCATTGCTGTATACTCTCCTCTTAGCATGACCTTTGCTGTCCCCACAGGTTCTGATAGGTTGTGTTTTCATTTTATTTATATTTTAGAAACTTTTTTATTTCCTCCCTTATTTCTTCAGTGACCCACTGATTATGGAGCAATGTATTGTTCAGTCTCCAATTGTATGAGTACTTTCTACTATTTCTTTTGCTGTTGAGTTCTAGTTTCATTTTGTTGTGGTCATACAGTATGCATGGGATTATTTCAGTTTTCTTCTATTTGTTAAGACTTGCTTTGTGACCTAAAGTAAGATCTCCTTTCGAGAAAGTTCCATGTGCTGCTGAGAAGACTTTATATTGTGCGGTTGCTGAATGGACTACTCAGTAGATGTCCATCAGGTACATTTGATCTATGGTGTTATTCAATTCTAAAATTTCCTTATTGATTTTTTGTGTGAATGACTTATCTCTTGATCATAGAGGAGTATTGCAACCTCCCACCATCACTGTGTTAGGATCTATCTGTGTTTTTAAGTAGAGTACTGTATGATTGGTTAAGTTGGGTCTGACAGTGGGTGTGTGTAAGTTACGAACTGTTATTTCCTCTTGGTGTATTGCTCCTTTTATTACCATGAAGTGACATTCATTGTCTATTCTCACAAGTTTATGCTTGAAGTCTACTTTATCTGAAAGCTACTCCTTTCTGTTTTCAGGGGCCATTAGCTTGGTAAATCTTTTTCACCCTTTTGTCCTAAGCCAATATTTGTTTTGTTTATTATATGGGTTTCTTGTAAACAACAAATAGTCAGGTTGTCCTTTTTAATCAAGATTACTAACATTTGTCCTTTGATGAGGGAGTTGAGGTCAGTAACATTCAGTGTTAATATTGAGAAGTATTTGGTGTTTCCTATTACTTAATTGTTCCTGTGTGTAAGGGTTTGTATTAGCACAATTCTTTATGGTTTTCTCTAATTACTTGCCTGCTCTTCTCTTGAGAGTTAATAGTTCCCATTCTTTGTATGGTCTTCTTTATTTCATTTTTCTTATTTTTATAATTCGTTGGTTTCATTGCAAAGTTTGTTGAAATACTCTTTGAGTTAATTTGGGTGTTTCTGTGTCTTCTCAATTTTTATATCTGTATTCTCTTGTGATTCATTGAGTTGTTTCTATGTGTCCTCTGCAAGCTTGTTAAACATTCTTATCATTTCTGTACCCAGTAACTGGGAATTTGCACCCTTCACTGTCTACCAAACCTTCTATGGTGTGATTGTTCACTTTTTGAGGAGTCATATTTTCTTTCCTTCCTTTCCCCCCCATGTTTATATAATAAGCTTCACTCATGTGTTGTTGATTAATTAGTTGGGGGTTTTAATTACCTGTTATCTTTCCCTTGATGTAATTTGTATGCTCTGACTAGCTTAGTTGTTAGCTACGTTGTTGTAATGCTTCTGCTTACTGATCTGGAGGTATAACTTAGCAATAACAAATACACAGGTTCAATTCCAAACCATTTATTTATATAGTATACAAAGCCTTTTTCAATATGATGTATAAACAGTGGGTATTGTGGAAATAACAGTTGTTTGCATAAATATTGATACTTAGGTAACTAGAATGATGGCAATGGAAGAGATGGGGAGGGTAGAATGGGATGAGGGGGAGGAGAGGTATGAGGTGTAGGGACTAGGGGATCTCAGGGCTTAATGTGTGAAAATGTGTAGTTCACTCATTGTGGGGAGGGTGCTATTGTCAGAGATCACAGAGGAAAAGAAAGGATGGCCATAATGTGTAAAGGAGGTTTAATAGACTACTTGGTGAGTGGTTAGTATGGAGAAGACATGACAGTGGGGAGAAAAGGAGAGGGTGGAGAAGAGATAAGGAGAGGGAGGAAGAAAGAAAAGAGAAGACAAAAATTGATGGAGAGAAAAGAATGTGGAAAAAGAGGGCTATGGAAATAAAAATTTCAACAGTGTGGAAAAAGGAGACAGTTAACAAAAAAGATAATATATATCTGTATTATATATAGGATAAAATATATCTTATACATATGTATGTGCATGTATGCATATATCTATATGTATATGTGCATTCATGCTTATATATGTATGTATATGTATATATTTATAAATAAATATACATACAAATTTCTTTCTTGTTATGAGAGGGGTAGATGTCCTCTGAGTTCAATGTATATTCTGGGCACTTCCATCTGATTTCTTATCCTGATGGTGTCCCTTCTTAAGGCTGACACACTGGACTGTATGGCAATTGATGGTGCCCCTCTGTACCACACAGATTTGTGGGGGTATCCACTCAGAGTATTTAAGGCCAGAGTATCCACTCAGAGTATTTAAGGGTCAGCTCGTTTGAGGAGGTGTGTTCTCTGAAGTGGTTCTGCCAGTAACTGCTGTGTGGGCAGTCAACAGCCTGTTCTGCCCACAAGCAAGTCTGGGAGCTGGAATTGAAATTTTTGATTGAACACTTTTTTCTGGAAGTTTTGTTAGATTCAGCGTGCTCCCCATTTCTACAAGGTGGTTGAATGTGTTGTTATCTTCCCCAGGCTGTGGCAGGTCACTCTTTCTTCACATGAGCTGGATCAGTTTAGCACTTGGCCCCTCCTCTACCAGGAAGAAGTGGAATTTTCTCTCCATTTCTTAGGATGCTAGCTTGGTCCAGGAGGGTGCAATCTGTCTGCAAGCTGAGCTGGACTCTGTGGTTTTCTCTGGAGCAGATGGTATGAGCCTCTCACCTGTGGTTTCTATGGGTGGTATTGTGGGTCAGCCCAGGCTAGCTCAGGCAGGTGGCAGTCAGAGGCTCCCTGTCCATGAATTCTGGAGAGTCCAGGACAACACATGTGCTTTCCAAGCTCATTTTGAAATTCTCTGAATTGAGTGTTTGATTGTTGAAGAGAGGGGAAAAATGGAGAGGAGAGAGAAAATAGGGAAGACTGCTCTCCAGCAGGCTGGCTTAGTAGTTAGCTATTTATTGGCCCTTAGTGCCCAGGCTTCTGGGGCTTTTATGTGCTATAAAAAGCTGATTAAAACTGTGGTTATTGTACACTATGTCTCCCCTGTGAATTGTCCAGTTTATTTGATTTTTGCTACAATGAATTTCAAGTTTTCTTTCAGACTCATGAGAGCTCAGAGAGTACCTAATCTATCTGCCATGTTGGTGTCTCCTCACATTTCATTTATGATATGACATGGTGACATTCTTTTTAAGTTTTGTCCTTTGGGAATTTCTGTAGCTTCCCAAAGGCATGAACTAGAAATAGAGCAAAGAATTATTAGGCACTTTGAATTCTACATTTGAATAAAAATTTCAGCCAGTCCTGTCAGCAGTCCCTAAGTCCTATCCATAGACAGAAGGGAATTATTCAAGTGCAAAAAAAACAGTTGAGAATCTGTCTGACATGGAAAAGTCTTGCATTACAATATTAAGTCAAGACAAACTATGGTGGTCAACCTCCAAGGGGGCCAACATGCACCCTTCAAATTAGAAAACTTCATTACACACAATAAACACTAAAAGGAATAAACGTTAAATGCATGAGATTAACTATGGAGAGAAGCAATCCACACCCAGTAATAGCATCTGAGGTTGTTACATCTGAGAAAGAAAGTAGAAGGAAGAAATAAATGCATAAATGACCTCTGTAAAGAGGCGAAGATTGGCAGTTTGGATAAGGGAATCCTAATTGAAGCCTTCAGATTTAAGAAACTCTGAGAGAAATTACACAGAGAAAGAGAATGGGCCAGGACAAGGTATCAGTGTTTGCTATTTGAAATGACATGGGGCAAGAAGAGCATTTGCTCTCAAGAATTAAAGTAGAATAAGGACTTAAAACTAAAAATGGTTCTTCATGACCCTGAAATTTTTATTGCAGTTATAGGATTGGGAATCATTTCATGTAGTAAAAGAAGATACTAAGTGATATTTAAAAACATTTGTGGGGTGAACCATGTAATACAGAATATTAGGATCCAAAGTAAGGGGAGAAACACTATATACTAGGAAAGCCACAATAATCAGGCAAAAGCTATGTTTTCCTCTATTATAGAGAAGATTTAAACTTTATAAAGAAGTTACTAATAGCAAGTGGAGAACTGAAACTCCTGGAAAATTCTTACAAGAATGAGAATATTTTTTCTCATACTAAACTAAGGTGAGGATCAAATAAAGTCTGGAAATTTAAATTGCAGAAAGGCTGTGGTGAGAATGTAAGTCAATTTGAGCTGTTTTAAGAGAAGTCACCACTTTTAAAGTCTGTGTTCGTTGGCATCAGGTTTGTAAAATGTATTTGTGAACTTGTCTAGGCACATATTACTCATGAAATCATGGGAAATAATCTTTCTAAGAAAGAAGGGGGATTCTCTAGACTTTTAGAAGTAATTATATTCAATTTGTTTCAAAGTGTGAAGAGTTATCCCAGTTGATCAAGCCAATTCTTTTTCTACATAATGAGGTAAAGAAACAAAAGGAGAAAGATAGACTATCAGAGAAAGAGACAGCTAGGTAAGCTTTTTAATATTTTAAATCATTCAACCATGAATTAATTGATTCAACTGTATTTTTACTAAAATGTAAATACAAATTGATTTTTTTATCTGCCTTTTTATGGTTAAGTAAATTAATACTTTCTCATATTTACTTCACAAACTCACAGGAGAATCTGGAAAATATCTTTGTATTTTGGTATAACTGGAGTTTGAACTCAGGGCTTAGTGCTCACAAAACAAATACTCTACTACTTGACCCACACCTCTAGTCCATTTTGTTGTGGTGATTTTGGAGATGGAGTCTTGTGAACTTTTTCCCTGGGGTAGTCAAAAGGTGTGAGTCTCCTGATCTCAGCCTCCCAACTAGCTTGGATTGCAGACATGAGTCACCAGTGATTGGCTAGAATAAAAGATTTTTGAATGCCAAAATATTGCATTTGTTCTTTAACTATTTTTAAAATTATTTTATTTTCTCATTATTGTTCTACTGGGGATACACTGTGACATTTACAAAGGTTCTTACAATATGTCATATGTGAATTTACCACCCTATCATTCTTTCTTCCCCTCTCTCACTTCATTATTCTTTTAACTATGTTGAACATGATAATGACCATGACTCTTGCCTACAAGGTCCAATGCACCCTTCTTTTTGTAACTTGAATTTTAATTTCCGTGGGTAATTTTTCTCATTTTGGTAGTGTCCATCCCTTCAGCATTGTGATGTAGTAGTATCTAGATGCCTGTTCATTCTTTAACAACATGAAAAATTGTCTTGATTTTGCTTACATTTTCTTTCTGCACCTTTCTTTTTTCATTACAAATTATATCATGGAGATTTTCCATTTGTATCTCCCAAATATGCATGAGATATATTTTATTGAACTCATTAATGTTTAAAAATAAATACATATATGCAAATACACTAACATATTTATTTATTTATGTATATATACAGCAGCACACATGGTGTTCTGTCATCCTTTGATATCTACAGGGAATAGATTACAGGACACTGTGCAGAGAGTAAAAATCCATGGATATTCGAGTCCTTTGTACAATATAATTTTAACTAAGTCATATCCTCTTGAATTCCTGAAATCATCTCTAGATTATGTGAAGTTCCTAATACAATGTAAATAATTGTTATACCATGTTGTTTTGGAATAAAGGACAAGGACAAAAAGTCTGTACATGTTCAGTTCAGATACAGTTTTTCCTGAGTATTTTTAATCCAGGGTTGGTTGAATCCTCAGATGCAGAAAACACAGATAAGAAAAATCAAATATATAAGTCTTGTATAAACAAAAACATATGTTTGAGTTGCAGAGAAAGAATGAAGGAGCACCCATGTTTCTATTTCTAGATAAAAAAAATGGAATGTTAACTCAGGTGTGGTGGTACAGGCCTGTAATCTTAGCTGGGTTGGAGGTAGAGATATGGAGAATCATGCTTCAATTCAGCCCAGACAGTTAGTGAAACATCATTTCAACTAATAAAAAATGGGCATGGTGTTGCAATGCTGTCATCCCAGCTATACAAGAAGGATCGTGGTCCAGGTTGGCTTGGCCACAAAAGTGATATCCTATTTGAAACTAAGTAAAACAAAAAGGGCTGTTGGTGTGGCCAAAGAGGTAGAGTGCCAGCCTAGCAAGAATAAACCCAGAGTTCAAACCACAGTACCACCAAAAAAAAAAAAAGGTTTCCAGTGGGGTTTGATACCCCCAACAATGCTGTTCAGCTACTTATTTGGTGATTGAATCAGTATGTTCTCTCATTTGTCTTATGGTATGGCTTATATCTCTTGCATTTTGTCAACACAGTGCTGGCAAAGATGTCTAGATTTCTTAAAACAGGTTAGGTCATTTCTCATTACTTCTATGTTGATTTCTTGTCTACTAATGCTCTTTTTGAAGCATTCATATAGAAGCACATCTTTCTTCTTCATTCTGGTTGCTCATGTCTGAGTTATACCTAATATTGAAATATTAATATTCCACATAACATAGTAAAATGGATATTAATACTGCAGGAAGTATGTATATGGTTCTAGTACTTATTCTTTGCCCACCATACATATTATTAATTCTTTCTTACTTCTCCTAAGATTATGTTATTAGAACACATTCAGATAATACTAAGTTGAAACAAATTACAAAGAACAATAATGCACCTATTTATTTTCTAGGGTAGAACATAGTACTTGTTTAAACAATTTAGTATGTACTCTTTAACGATATCACTTATTCCTTGTGCACATTCTTCCAGATGCAAGCACGTAAAACAAACAGTTGAAGGACATACAGAAGAAAATGAAAATGGAGAATTTAGTTCTGAGGAAGATGTAAAAGCTAGCCAATCTGGGAAAAACAGCCAATGTGAAAAAGAAATTGAGATTAATAGGCTAAGACAAACGGTAATTATAACAATTATTTTTATTAACATATATTAATTTTAAAAAGGGTTTTCACTGTGATATTTTCATGTATGCCTGGAAGGTGCTTTGACCTTCTATTAGTTTTTAAGTCCCCCTTTGATCTTTGTGACAAATTTTTAAATGTGTTTCATTATGTTGTTTTCATGTGTGTATGCAATGTACTTCTCTCATATTCCTTCCCCTGGCTCCCTTTCCTCATTCCCTTTTGCAATTTATGTCCTTTTTAAAGATCTAGATTATCATATCAGAGGATCATGTGGTATTTGTGTTGGAATATGGCTTATTTCACTTTCCTGCAAATTTTATGATCTTTTTCTTCTTCTCATCCTTCTTTCTTTCTTCTCTCTCTCTCTCTCAGCTTGAAAACTGAGGAGTGAATGCTTGCAAAGCAAGCATTCTACTGTTTGAGTAACCCCACCAGACCATTTTTCTCTGGTTATGTTGGTGATGGGGTCTTGCGAAGTATTGCTTGGTATGACAGGCATGAGCCACCACACCACATATTGGTTGAGATGGGATCTCGTGAAGTTTTTGTCCTCATCGCTCACAACCCTCCTCATCTCAGTATTCCAAGTAGCTAGCATTATAGGAGTGAGGCACTATATTTTTTATTTAAAAAAGATTCCAAACTAATAATGGGAATGATTCCATGTGGTGTATTTCATTTTCACTTCCCTAGTAACTAGTGGGATGGTAATAAACATATGTCTTCTCATGTGGTTATTAACCATTTGAAGATCTTTGAGAAAAGTGTTTTAAATTCTTTCTCCATTAGTAAATTGGATATTTTTGATTTTCATAATTATAGGTGTCATTTCTATAAACTACATGTCAATATATTGTCTGAAAAATATTGAAATATCTGTTACTCAGTGGCTTGACTTTTCACTTTCCAAATGTGCTTTCAAACAGTGCTATTTAACTTTGATGAAGCCTCATTATCTTTTTTTTCACTGTCAGATCAATGAAACTATTGCCAAATCAAGTCATGTGAATTTATACCTTTGTTTTATTCCAGGAGGTCTGTAGTTTTCTTTGTTAGATTTAGGTATTAAATTGAGCTACATGTTTATAGTGTTCAGATGGAGACAACTGTGGTTTTGGTTTTTCTGTTTGTTTGTTTTTTTGCCTATTGGCAATACTAGGGTTGATCTCAGGATCAACCTTTATAGGCAGGTACTCAACCACTGGAGCCATGGCCCAGATCAGTCCTGTTTAATTTGGTTATATTTTACTTAGCGTATTTCTCATTCTAACTTGGAGTGTGATCCTTCTACTAAGGCCTCCTTTATAGTTGGGATTTACAGGAGTGGATCAGTGTGGCCAACGTTTCTTGTTGAGAATGGGGTCTTGCTAACATTCTTCCCATGCTGAACTTCAATCATTATACTTCTGATAGCCACTTTCCAGGTAGCTGGAATTGCAGGCTAAGCTTCTGCATTTAGTATACTGTATTTTAAAAATGTCAGTATCCAATTTTAACTGCACTATTTTTTGGTTGCTGTGAAAAGACTATTTTCCTCCATTTATTTGTCACAATTTTCAAAAATCAATTGACCATAAATAATTGGTTTTGGATCCTCAGTTTTGGTACCATGATCTTTATTGTCTATCTCTATGTCAGTACCAGTTCTAATTGAGTTGTCAGACAAGAATATTTTTCTGGTTATGTTGTGTACTGTGACTTGTCACTACATAGTAGTGATAAAAAGTCAGTGTATTCTAAGGTCTTTCATCTTTCTCCCAGAGAGACATTTTATTTCTTGAAGACTGTGGCTAGTTTATGTCTTGCTCACTCATGACATTGAAAAAAGTCCAGCTTGCAACACTAGAGTCCATTCTTTCCTTTTTTTTCTTTAAACCTTTAGACTGTCACTCAGTCTTCTCCCTTTAATTCAATTTCCAAGGAGTCTTGGCCACAGGATCTGCTAACTCACTCTACTATTTACTCCAATAAGTCTTTATCAAGTCATTATAATTCATAGCATCATCTGTAGATTATTATCAGCAAAGAAACAGAGGATTGTGTATGGTGTGTCCATTTCCCTGGAATTTGAACTGTCATCTTTCCATTCAAAATAGTTGTTCTCACAATCTGGTAACTTGCTTTCCTGTTTACAACTGGGGCTGATGCTTTTCTTAGCACAGATCATGCATTCTCAAAAACCACTTTCTTATATTCATCATCTTGTACTTAAATATATAAAGATGCATGACTGTACAACACAGGATTCGTGCATTAGGTAGTTCAACTTGCCCAGTGGGAAAAAAATGTGAGGAGTACAGCCTTTAAAAACTGGATGTGCTGAGGAAATTTATCAAAGACAAAAGTAAAGTGGTTATTTGAATTTCCAAATTTCCCAGTCAATGCATATAATATGGAGAGGCACTGTGGTAGAGCATGACATGAGATGGTCTTCCCCATAAAAGCAAGGTGAAATAAGGAAACAGAGAAATTGTGTTCAATTTTCTTTATATTCAAAGGGTACAACATTTTGTTTTTTATCAAAGAGAAGTTGAAAATGGTTCCACAATGTTCCCTTTATTTCTTTACTGAGGAAAGGAAAATGAAGATTAATACTAGACTGAAAAAATAAATATTTAAGCCTGCCTCTCTGTTTTACAATCATCTAATTGAAATCAGGTAAACTAAATGCTTGATGAACCAAACATTTCCAGTTGTTTTTCAGCCATTATACTGCAAGTCCTATGTCTCCTTCCTCCCATTCTTCTGTATCCCCAACATGAGGGAAAATTTTAGAGTGGCATTGTCTATCGTTAATAAATTTGTGTATGTATTTATTAGATCCTAATTTAAAGGAGCTTATTTTCTACTGTGAGCAGCTATTGTTCCTTGGTATCTCTTTTAAAAATCTAATTTTCTGTTTATTTTCCCTAATAATTGCCCAAAATTTAGTGGCTTCAAACAACATTTACTTTATTCATGAATCTGTTGTTTGAGAAATGCCAAGTGAAGCTACCTTAATTTAGAGACCCTCCATGTCAACCTGGACAGTGTGAAGACTGAGGGACTAAGTCCCCTGAAAGTTTGTTCACCTCCATGTCTGGTTGTTTGCTAGCCTTATTTGGAGAAGTTGAGTTTGCCAGCCAGGTGATACACCTGCAGTGGAACCCCTTGCCTCTCTTTGTGTTCTGAGTTTGCTCACATTACATGACAAGCTGTCTGAGAGTTTTTCTCACCTAGTGTTGGAAATCATGGCAGATGACTTGTACCACAGTGAATTCTTTATATCGAAGTCAAGCTGGACCTATATTCTAGCTTCTAGTGGAATGAATATTAAAGAATAACGTGTTCTAAACCCATTCTGTTCTGAACTCTGCAACCATGTTTCTATACTCATCCTACTTGAAAACTATACTTGTTAAATATTCATCACAGTTCTCAGTTTGGCACCATCCTCAGGCTTGAAATGCAAGATGTTACCTCCTTATCAGGTCAGATGGAGATGGGGGTACCTAGGATGTGGTTACTATCATATAGCTCCCTGAATCCAGTTTCTTCCCATGTGAAGAATGTAGCGATCAGGAGAGAAATTTTCAAGCACTTGCACAGACAAGTGCAAAATGTAAAACCCTCCCATCACGTGGATGGAAAAGAGGAAACAGTCCAAGGAGGTACTGGCATGTGCAGCCAATGTTTTGATAAGGAATTATGTCCTCAACTGGGGACTGATTCTCCATGGATCTCTGTTACACCCTCTGGGCAATTTGTTCTATTCTTTTCCCAAGGAACAAACTTTTTTAGAGTCTAGTAGTTGTTTTTTTTTTAATGCTTCTACCTGTAGAACTACCAGGTCGAAGGGCCTCTTTCATTATCACTGTCTTGGTTCTTTTAAGTGGAAGCTAAGGCAGGGCTTTTGCTACCACATTTCCCTCAAGAACTTTGAGTCTCCTGTGAATTACACTGGATTCATAACATTAGAAAAGCCATATTCCCAAATATTTTGGAAATATGCTCTTCACCTGAGGCGTTTTGAGCAGCTGTGTTAAATAAGGCATTTGAGAATGCTGTACTCTTAAGATCCTCCTGGGAATGGGATGCACCACCTTAAGGCTTTCTCATGTCTTAGCCATGGGTTACACAGTGGTGGTCTTACCTTCATCTTTTGACCATGCGTTCCCAGGAGAACTCCAGATTTGATCTTAACCCACAAACAATGTAGAGTTATTTCGCAAATTTGATAAGTGGAAAGACTACTAATTAATTGTTCTGGTTCTTTACATGTAATCATCTTCTGTAGGATATCTCTCCCATTAATTTCAAGCAGTGCCTTCATTTAGGAAGAATTCCCTTTCACCCAGGCTTCTGCATCATTCCTTCAGTGGGTTTGCTGTAGTCTCTTTAAGGGCCACGAGGTTTCCAGTGGTAGCCCCCATGAAATGCTTTAGGCTTTCTTTTCTACGTCCTTTCTTCTTCCACTTACCTCCCAGTCCAACGGCATCCTTCATGCTTCAGATTTCTTGTTTTACATGGCAGCAATTTATATTTACTGTCAGTATGTGTACAAGTTACTCATATGCAGCAATACACCTCAAATTTGGTGTTTCAAAGCCACATTTACTGTGTTTGAAATCTGCATTTTAAGTAAGGTCTGTGAGGCAAGCTCTTTTCTTCTCTTTGCATTAGCTGGGATGATTGGAAGTTGAAGACAGGAATGCAGTTGCTAAGGCAGTTCATTTTTGGGGCCAGGACACTCACAGGACAAATGTCAAAGAATATGTGGACAGATCTCAACACCATCTCTCTAAATCATGATATGTAAAGAAAAGTACTACTTTACAACTCAGTACCGGAGATATCTCACCAAATTTTTGTTGTTATTTTTGCTTGGCATACTCTTTGATTTTGTGGAGAGAATGGGAAGGTTGTGTGATAATGTTACCTATTTAGGTTATTTTTGTTAAAAAATATGGATCGTGTCACTAAATTTTTATATTGGGACATGTCATTGCTCCTTATGTTTAGAGGAACATGAAACATTTGGAGATCAGGAAAAGCCTTATGACATTGGAAAACCCACATGTAGAAGATTCTTTAAATAGTTTTACTTTGAAAGTCTTATTCTGGGAGCCATTCATCAGGGAAGGTCCATGCATGAATGCAGGCCTAATCTGAGTCCCTAAACCATCTTTAGACATTATGGGAGGGAAAATGGAGGAAGGAGCAAGAGACTCTACCAAGAGGGTGCTTAGGGTCATCTTAAGAAGGAAAGTCATGAAACAAACATATAAAAAGAAAAGTATCAGATCAACTGTCAATTTTTAGTGACAAAAATGATGAGGTAGAGATTATGTTTTTGTGCCTTCTAGTGTTTGACTTTTGTTGTTTTTCTGAGTATTGCAAGGGACCACATTCTAAGAATCTGGTATGTATTATATGTCATTGAAAATGAATTGATGTCAAGGTTGATTAGTCATTTTGTGTGAGACTGCTCTGTTCTCTGACTATTTTCTTCTTTACCAAACCATATTCATGTATTCTTGCAGCTTGCTGATATCACAGAAAAACTGCAATATTCATTATCAGAATATCAACAGCTGGTTAAAAAGAATGAGCAGAAATCTCCGTTTCTGCAAACTACAGAGAAGAGAATTGAAGCAATAGTACAGAAGCAAATGGCAATAGAAGAAGTAATAAAAGACATCAGAAGTGAAATGGATAAAAATATGGTACACAAAGCTGTGGCAAAACAGTACAAACGAGAGATTGAAGAAAGGGTTAAAAGGAAATTGGTGAAACAGTTAAAAGAAGTCGATCAATTTCTACAGGTTAATATATTGGTTTGGAATATGCATTAATTCATTTTGCTGCAAATTACAGTTTCGGTGCATACATTGTATTTCCATTAGATCCTCTGTAGAAAATTGTTTTCTTAATTTTAAGGAAGGAGACACAATGTGTTTCTCACGTTAACGATTCCTTCCATCTCCATCAGTATTATAAGTAAATTCATCTTTCAGAATACCTAGTTCATGAAAGAATCATTTGATTTTTAACACTAGTTGCCGTAAATAAGTCTATGAAAATGTAAAACGATGTGATGTATATAATATATTTTTGAACTGCTTTTCAGTTCATTTGTTCTACCAAAAAGTTTCAAGTGACTCAATTATTCCTTTTTTTATTCATTTATTCACATGTGCATATATTGCTTGGGCCATTTCTCCTCCTGGGCCCCCACCCTCTCCCTTCCCCACCCCTCACTTCCAAGCAGAACCTGTTCTGCCCTTATTTCTAATTTTGTTGAAGAGAAAAGAGGCAATAATAAGAAAGACAAAGTGTTTTTGCTAGTTGAGATAAGGGTAGATGTACAGAGAGATTCCTACCATTGCTTCCACGTATAAATGTGTTACAACCCAAGTTGATTCATTTCTACTAGTTCCTGATCCCTTTCCCATATTGACTTCTGTCACTTTAAGGTTTCTGTATTAGTTCTTCTGCAGTGGAGACATCAAACACTTTCATGTTTTGGATTTCTTAACCATCCCCATGCTTCCCATATGTGCTCTCCCCTTATCATGTGATCCAAGTCCAACTACACTGCTGTATTTGCCCTAGATCTAAAGTCTGCATATGATGGAGAACATATGATTTTTGGTCTTCTGAACTTAGCTCACCTTGATCGGAATGATGTTCTCCAGTTCCATCTATTCACTTGCGAATGATAAGACTTCATTCTTCTTCATGGCTGCGTAAAATTCCATTCTGAATAAATACCACATTTTCTTAATCCATTCATCAGTAGGGGGCATCTTGGCTGTTTCCATAACTTGGCTATTGCGAATAGTACTGCAATCAATATGGGTGTTCAGGTGCCTCTGGAGTAACCTGAGTCGCATTCCTTTGGGTAGTTCCGTAAGAGTGGGATTGCTGGATAACATGGCAGATTTATGTTTCTTTTTTAAAGAAGCCTCCATATTGTTTTCCAGAGTGGTTGTACTAGCTACCATTCCCACTAGCAGTGTACAAGGGTTCCTTTTTCACCACATCCTCACCAACATCTGTTGTTGGTGGTGTTTCTAATGATGGCTATTCTAACAGGGATGAGGTGTAATCTTAGTGTGGTTTTGATTTGCATTTCCTTTATGGCCAGAGATGGTGAGCATTTTTTCATGTGTTTTTGGCCATTTGAGTTTCTTCTTTTCAGAAAGTTCTGTTTAGTTCAGTTGCCCATTTCATTATTGGTTCACTGATTTTGGGAGAGTTTAGTTTTTTTAAGTCCCTGTATATTCTGGTAATCAGTCCTTTGTCTGATGTACACCTGGCAAATATTTTCTCTCACTCTGTGGGTGGTCTCTTCAGTTTAGAGACCATTTCTTTTGTGGTGCAGAAGATTTTAGTTTTATGAAGTCCCATTTGCCCATCCTTTCTCTTCATTGCTGAGCTGCTGAGGTTCTATTGAGGAAGTCCTTGCCTATACCTATTACTTTCAGAGTGTTTCCTGCTTGTGCCTGTACTAATTTCAGAGTTTCAGGTCTGATATTTAGGTCCTTGATCCATTTTGAGTTGATTCTAATACAGGGTGATAAACATGGATCTAGTTTCAATTTCTTGCGGACGGATAACCACTTTTCCCTACAACATTTGTTGAGGAGGCTGTCTTTACTGTATCATATATTTTTGGCATCTTTGTCAAAAATAAGGTGGGCATAGCTGTGTTGATTCATATACGGGTCCTCTATTCTGTTCCACTGGTCTTCATGTCTGTTTTTGTGCCAGTACCATGTTGTTTTTATTGCTATTGCTTTGTAATATAGTTTGAAGTCAAGGTATTGTGATACCTCAGAGTTGCTCTTTTTGCTGAGTATTGCCTTGGCCATTCATGGTCTCTTGTGAACGTTAGGGTAGATTTTTCAACGTCTATGATGAATGCCATTGGGATTTTGATGGGAATTGCATTAAGCATATAGATTGCTTTTGGTCATATAGCCATTTTTACTATGCTGATTCTATCAAACCATGAGCACGGGAGATCTCTCCATCTTTTGTAGTCTTCCTTAATCTCTTTCTTCAGGGGTTTGTAGTGCTCCTTGTAGGGGTCATTCACATCCTCTGTTAAGTTTACTCCTGCGTATTTGACTTTTTTGAGGCTATTGTAAATGGAATTGTTTCCATATATTCCTTCTCTGTTCTTTGTTGGTGTATAGGAAAGCTAATGATTTTTGTAAGTTGATTTTGTATCCTGCCACCTTGCTGTAGCTGTTTATGCTGTCTAGGAGTTTTTGGGTAGAGTTTATTGGGTCTTTAAGGTGCATGATCATATAATCTGCAAATAGGCATATATTGACAGTTTCTTTACCTATTTGTATTCCTTTTACTTCTTCTTATTGCCTAATTGCTCTGGCTAGGAATTCCAGCACTATGTTGAATAGGGTGGGGATAGTGGGCATCCTTGTCTCATTCCTGATTTTAGGGGAAATGGTTTCAGTTTTTCACTATTAAGTATGATGTTGACTGTAGGTTTGTCATATATAGCTTTTATAATGTTGAGGTACTTTTCTTCTCTTCCTAGTTTTCTTTGAGCTTTTATCATGAAGTGGTGTTGGATCTTGTTGAAGGCTTTTTCTCCATCTGTTGAGATGATCAAGTGGTTTTTGTCTTTGCTTCTAATGATGTGCTGTGTTACATTTATAGATTTGCATATGTTGAACCACCTCTGCATCCCTGGAATGAAGCCCACTTAGTCGTGGTGGATGATCTTTCTGATGTGCTGTTGGATTCGGTTTGCCATTACTTTATTGAGGATTTTTGCACTGATGTTCATTAAGGAGATTGGCCTATAGTTGTCCTTTTTGGAGATGTTTTGTCTGGTTTTGGCATGAGTGTAATAGTGGCTTCCTGAAATGAGTTAGGCAGTGTCCCTTCCCATTCTATTTAGTGGAGCAGTTTAAGGAGGGTTGGTATTAGTTCTTCTTTAAAGGTCTGATATAATTCAGCAGAGACTCCATCATATGCTGGACTTTTCTGTTTTGGGAGACTATTGCTGCTGCTTCAATTTCATTTTGTGTTATAGATCTATTTAGGTGATTAATGTCCTCTTGATTCAATTTTGGATGGTCATAAGAATCTAGAAATCTGTCCATTTCTTTAAGATTTTCAAATTTATTAAAATATAGGGTCTCAAAATAGTCTCTGATCATTTCCTGGGCTTCCGTGGTATTTGTTTTAATCTCCCCTTTTGCATTTTGATTTTACTGATTAGGGTTTTTTTCTCTCCTCATTTAGTCAGGTTTGCCAGGGGTCAGTGATTCTTATTTATTTTTTCAAGAGCCAGTTTTTGTTTCATTGATTCTTTGCATGTTTTTTGTTTGTTTGTTTCAATTTCATTGATCTTGGCCCTGATCTTTATTATTTCTCTCCTTCTGCTTGTTTTTGAATTTGCTTGTTCTTATTTTTCTAGGAGATAGAGATGAAGTGTTAGGTCATTTATTTGAGATCTTTCTACTCTTTTAATATATGCACTCATGACTATAAACTTTCCTCTTAGGACTGTCTTTGCTGTGTCCCTTAGGTTCTGATAATCCATGTTTTCATTATCATAACTTTCAGAAAACTTTTAATTTCCTCTTTTATTTCATTAATGACCCATTGATCATTGAGCAATGTGTTGTTTAGCTTCCAGTTGTTTGCATGCATTCTACTGTTGTTTTTGTTGTTGAGTTCTACTTTTAATGCATTATGGTCAGGTAGAATGTGTGGGATCATTTCTGTTTTCTTATATTTGCTGAGGCTTGCTTTGTGCCCTAGATAGGATCAATTTTGGAGAAGGTTCCATGAGCTGCTGAGAAGAATGTGTATTGTGCAGAAGTTGGATGAAATATTCTGTAGACATGAGCTAGGTCCATTTGATCTATGGTGTGATTTAGATCTAGGATTTCTTTATTGATTTTTTGTTTGAATGACCTATCTATTGGTGATAGGGGGTTATTAAAGTCTCCCACTACCACTGCATTGAAGTTTGTGTATGTTTTCAGGTCCTTCAGGGTATGTTTGATGAAAATGGGTGCATTGATGTTGGGTGAGTATAGGTTGATAATTGTTATTTCCTTTTGGTGTATTTATTAGCATGGAGTGTCCTTCTTTATCTCATTTGACCAATGTAAGTTTGAAATCTACTTTGTGCAAGACAAATATTGCTACCTCTGCCTGTTTTGGGGGGCCATTGGCTTGCTAAATCTTCTTTTCAGCATTTCACCCTTAGCCAGTGCTTGTTTCTGTCAATGAAATATGACTCCTTAAACAACAGATTGTGGATCTTCCTTTTTATTCCAGCTTGCCAAACAGTGTCTTTTGATGAGGAAATTAAGTCCATTAACATTTAGTGTTAGTATTGATAGGTATGTGGTGATTCCTGTCATTTAGTTGTTTTTGTTGTTTAAGGGTTTGATTGTGTGTAGCTAAGTCAATGTTACTCTCTACTTTCTTGCCTTTTTTTCTCCTGTGGTTTGGCACTGCCTGTCCTTTCATGGTTTTGTTTGCTTTCATTTTCTGTGTGCAGAATTCCTTGAAGAGTGTTTTGTAGTGGTGGGTTAGTGGTCGTATATTGTTTTAGTTTCTGCTTATCATGGGAGACTTTTATTGCTCCATCTATTTTGAATGATAGTTTTGCTGGGTAGAGTACCCTGGTTTGAAGTTATTTTCATTTAGTGCCCAGAATACCTCACTCCATGCCCTTCTTGCTTTTAAGGTTTCCATTGAGAGATCTGCTGTGATTTTGTTGGGTTTACCTTTGTATGTTATTTGTTTTTTCTCTCTTACAGCCTTCAATATTCTTCCTCTATTCTCTGTGTTTGTTGTTTTAATGATAATATATCATGGGGTA